CAATGTTGTTAAATGCTAAATAACACTGTGGTTCGTCTGGCAGTCTGCATTTTTAAAGATATAATTTAACATCTCGGCAAGAGCATTTTTGGATTTTGGAGAGTACGGAACCCTATCTGGTAGATGTCAAATCTGCTGGTAATCTTAAGGTATTTAAATGTGGAAAGTTGCCTTTTACATGAAAATCTCGATTAAGGGGGTGTTTGAGATGTCCAAATTTTGTTACTAGGGAGGAGTGTAGGTTTCAAATATAAGTATAGTAAATTAATTTTTTTTTACACAGTGTTAGCTAGGTATAATTTCAGTTGGGTCCTGTTCATTGTTATAGTTTAAGGGGAAATTGATTTGCAGTACACATTGTAAAAGCACAGACATACCTACAACCGTCAATGGTCACTAATTTGTACAGAACAGTACAATAGAAGTTCAAAGAAGAAAAGAAATAAATGAATATTTCAATAAACACATAAAGCTACTGTCAATACATCTAAGCACATGGTAGCTAAAATCATTGCACATAGTGCATTGAAAGTGCATTACCTTCCAAGACATTATCTCCCAACGTCAAAGTGATCATAAGACAATTTTTTGAAAGAAAGACAAACTAGTCTTTAGATAAACTAAAGAAACTAAACCTAGTGAAGGCTGCGTAAATTATTGAAACACTGCTGTGTTGTTTTCTAGTCTTTGGCATCCTAAAGCTGAAGGATGTGAAACTTAGTAAAAGGATGGAGGTTCAGGACAGCTGGGTGTATATTTGGCTTTAGATCTTACTCACATAAGTGTATATATTTTGAAACTGGGCTTGTTCTAAATAGACACAAGCTATAACACAACTCAATTTCATTAAAATGAAAAGGTGCTGATGGACCTTTTTACACACAGCATCCGTATAGATTCAAAGATCAGCTTATGGTCAGTAACAGTTACCAGATACGTATTTCTGCTTAGTTTCCAAAATTCAAGAAGCATGTCTTTAGCTTCAGGGGTTTAGGTACTACACAGGAGAAATAATTATTTGAATTTTTGCATGCTGTTTTCATTACGTTATTGTTTATGAAAATGTATTCAGTTAAACCATTATCTCATAAACCACATAGGCACTGATTGTAAGACAACAGCTCCTCCAAATTGTCTAATTAATAGGGAATCCTTAGACAAAGTGGATGTATATCAGCTTTACCATAGTAATTGTTGTCAGAATAGCACAGGTAGTAAGGAAGGAGGTAGAAAAAATAGCCTGAAGGCCTTCTATCATGTTTTCTTTTAGCACTGAAAAAAATCTAATTAATCTTGATTAATCGATTATTAAAATAATCGTCAACTAATTTAGTAATTGATTAACCATCAATTGGAGTGTACAAACTGTAAAATATGCCTTAAGCTGACAGAGCAACCCACTTAGAGCAGTAATTTTTTTTTTTTATTGTAAAAAAAATTTATAAACATTTTGCATTTAGGATTTAAAAAAAAGTTTTCGTCTGTCAATGTGCTCTATTCAGAACTCTGCAAGTGGAAAAGTTTGTGTTTAGCCTGGTTTAATTTCATTAAAAAAATCTTCTTTAAGGATCCTCTGGCTACCGTAATCGAAAAGATAATCAAAATATCAACATAGATTGAAAACTTTGAATCAATTTGACTCTAAGATCTGGTTGAACTGTAAAGTGCCTTGAGATTGCATGTATTGTGAATTGGCGCTATATAATTAAATTGTATTTCATTGAATTGAATTAATAATTTTGCAAAATAACCGTAAATTGCAACCCTAGCTTCTTTAAAATTGGAAGCTATACCATGGAGCTATAAGGAGTCATACATTACTTAATGTGATGGTCCAGTAATGAACAAAAATACATAATTGCTTCACGAGTACTATAAATGGCAAATGTACACACCTGTATGTTCCCCACATTTGTGTAACTTGTGCTTTTTTTAGTACTTTTTCTAAGGAATTTGACCAGCATCATAAATGCTGTTTATGTCATGTACAGTAGTTATGCATGGAAGGCTAAAGACTATCCAGAATCAAAACAGCCGTCCACAATTACCTTCTTATCCTACATAGAGTTTTTTCTGTTGAGCTCATTGAAGTTGAAGGACCAGGACATAGGAACAAGAGCTGGGTCTACAATTAGACAATTTTAGACACAGCCAACTATTGAATTACCCAAAAAAAAACAAAAAACATGAAAATATAATAAATGGTACAGTAACATTAATATACCACCCCATAGGCCCAGTATGTGGTATTTATCTAAAAAAATTATTTTAGGGTGAATTATACAATAAAGAAGCTTCGGATATTACATTTTTTTTTTAACTCTATTGTAAATTGGGTTTTTTTACAATCTGTGGTGTACCTGGTTTATAAACCAATGTAATTTTCTAATATTGATTTATTTTTCAGGGAATAATGTCAGAGAAGAACATTTTTTAAGTTTAATCCCAAAACCTGGAAACTTAAATGCTTTGCAAATGTAAAAAGGAAAAAAAAAGAAAGCAAAGTAGACTTTCTGTCTTTTTATTTAACGTTGAAGTCACAAATTCATTTGTAACCACTTCCTTTATAGTAGAACGTTTTCTGCTTTTGCTGTCTTTTTTTCAGTGAATCTTCTCCTATCAACAAGCATCTAGCGATATGTGATTAAGTGAAACAGTAACAAAGCTTCTCTTTACTTGTGGGGGCTTGAATTTTTCTCTTAATTCCTATGCACCTCACAACTTGAAGTGTTTGCTGAGAGGTTCCTATTGGTAGGGACCTGGTAGGGGGTTCAAAGCTTGTGGACATCCAGAATGTGAGAGCCTATTTATTTCCACTGTAATGCAAGTGGTTGTGAGGCCCATGGGTTGAGGGGGGTGTTATATCCGGAAATTGGCCAAGATCCAGTTGTCTTTGCTCCTCAGTATATTGTGACACACAAATCATGAGACTGGGCCTCTCAAAAAGCCAGTGGGAAACTGGTATCCTAATTTAAATGTATATCTTTGCAATCACATGGGCTACAAAAACTCCGAATTAACTTAGCTTTACTGCACAAACAGGCCCTTGAGAGAAACTGCATAACCAAACATTGCACCTGTGGTGGATTAGAGTAAATATCAGTAGTTTATTGATAATGCCACTGTCTAAAGCAATCAAGCTCTGGCTCTTAATTTTCTTTTATTTCAAATTATCTAAATGGTTTCATATTGATGTTACAGAGAAAAATCTATACTGAGATGAAGAAAATATGCGTTTGGTTGCTCTCCTGGGTTGTATAGGATCTGTAAGTGGTTTTTAATCATGCTGTGTTTGTATGCTGGATTTGTGTGACTAAGAGCTTCCTCTTTTCCCTCATCCCCTTCCCACTAAGCCAAAGAGAGTTGCTAGGACAACCCCTTGTGGTCCCTATTGCATCGTAGCCACCCTCCATGCCAGCACTGAGGGAACCTCCTCGCACTGGGAAGGCTGCATAAAATTGGGATAATCGGCGTCGATTATGGAAGACAATTGGCTGCCGCTTCTCAGAGATTCATTCATCCTGGAAAAGAGACTGTTGAGGGAGGGGGGCAGAGAATGGGACGCCTTAGTTCCTCCGCTCCTCTCCCACGGTGGGCACAGGCATGACATCAGTGGCCTGAAAGGACTGGCATTCTGGACATGTCCATTACTCCCCCCTGCCTCACTATAACCTTGCTCCCCATCCATCCCTAGCCCAGCCTCCCGTCTTTTCTTGCCGCTGCCAGTTTGGATGCAGTGCTTGGCCAGGCGAGTAGGGGCCACCGCCACTGTTTGCGTGTGAAACAAAGCCTTTCAGAGGGAGAGAGAGGAAGCAGAGAGCTTCACATGGTACCAGCCAAGAGGAGAGATGGCTGCCTCAGCCTTCCCCATCTCAGGCCCCTCTTTTGGCTGAGAGATGCTAGTGTGACCCCAGTACCCCTTCTCCTCTAGGGTCCCTCTCTGTTTCTCCTGTAACCCCTTCTTGTCTGTCCTGGCCTTTCGCTGTCATCTAAAACATACCCTTTTTTCATTCCTTAGAATAAGCATTGCATGTCAAAGGATTTAGGAAGAGGGATTTCACACGACTCAACCATTGGAAAGATAAAGATGGCATTCCTCTGCCTTTTGTTGTGAGAGTGGTCATACGTTTAAACAGGAAGAAGCTTTCCCATACATTTCCCTAAGTAGAATAATGCAATAGTGCTAAGATGTGAAGTCCCATGCTGCTTGGAGGCTAAAGGGAAATCAGTGTGACAGCACCCTTATAAGTACAATGAAGTGCAATGGGTTTATGCATTAGTGAAATTACACAAATCTATATGCTGTTGTGTTTCATTCTGAAATAGAAAATATAATTGTGATTTATTAGTATAGTATGCATTTTAAAATCCTCTGTTATGTCACTGAGTATTGTCCTTCTGGATCTTACAAAAAATGAAAATCTATGACCATAATTTACTACCCTCTTAGCAAAAGGGAGAAAAATGCTACTGTTAACATTTCACCACTATAAGGAATTATCATGCTCATCTACAGCAGCCTGGCCTCTCCCGTGCTATAAATGTAAGCTATAGGAGTTAGCAAATTTACACAGTGGTTTGATTATAGAATCCCCAGAATGTGTTAATTTACTCCTAGGTTTTACGTGGTGTGGATATGTTGGTGTGCATGTGTTGGTACAGCTAGACGGTGGGTGTACGTTGGTAGTCAGGTTGTGTGTGTGCATGCGAGCGGCGGCGGTGGGGGGGTGGCGTGTATTAGTTAGGGGGATGCATCACACAAATCAAGATGGGGCAGTCCAAGTTTCTGTGGCTTAGACTGCCTCTGCTGTCCAGACAGAGTTGACTGTCCGCTCTCTGGATGCTTTTGGGTTGGGCAGCTGAGAGCGGCTAGCCGTCAGCAGACCTCTGGTGCATTCAGTCTCGGACATCAGCCAACATTTTTGGATGGAGCACATGTTACAGAACCAATGCTTTCTTCAGCTGACTCACTTTAAACTACCAAAGTCTGTTCCTGGTCAATGTATATTGCACTAACCTCATCTCCCCCAGAAATGAAGTAAGTGCTTTGAATTTACAATTTTTTTCCTTTTCAACAGACCTCTTTTTTTCTACTCTGTGTTTTAATCTCTCAAAGATCTAATATATCAGTTAACCTTTTTTGTTGGCATGGTTTGTTATGCAAGAAAGTAGGTTATTATATATATATATATATATATATATATATATATATATATATATATATATATATATATATATATATATATATATATATATATATATATATATATATATATATATATATATATATATATATATATTATTTATTTATTTTTTTCAAAGAAAACAAGTCTTACAAAAAAGAGATTAGTGATTTATGTATAACATACTCTATTCCGTTCTTTACACAATTTTACAAAGCTGCTTGTTAACAGGGTAATTTGAATACAATGAAAAACTTTTACATTTCTTAATATTTCCAGAAAGTCATAACATACAACTAATCCAGCCTTTCCCTTAGCTTGCTTTAATTGGTTTTAAATGATCCCTTTAGTATTCTGAGACTATGAATGTACAGTTTTGTCATGGCTAAATTATAACATTCTATCCCCCAATAGGCCTATAACTCAACTTGATTCTAGTCTAACACTTTGCTATAAAATTTAAAATTAGATAAGCCCAATCCTATTTAAGAATGGATGTTACTGAAATAATGCTTTGTGAAATCATATGTTGGGGTGAAAATATACTATACTATACTATAACATTTAATTATGTTCTTTTTCTCTTGCATTATATTTTTTCTTAGTTTCTTTTTTTTTTGCCGAGTTTAATCTCATTACTGCCTGAAATAAAACTGTTTGTTAAATTACTTAGCAATGATAATATACATTTTGTCTGTTCTCTGTTATATGCTACTAAATCATTTAGCATGAATTAATCAGTTCTTTCAGTACCTCTTTATATTCATCTGCTCCCACCTCCTGCCTCATTCGTCTCTGTCTTGAAAGGAGAGGTGCTAATGAAAAGATATTGCTCACTTCCTTACTCAGAGCTAAAAATAATGTGACAAAAAAGCATAGAAAAAGGGAACGTCCAATTTAAATACATTATTCCTTCTGCTTGTAGTTAAATTATTTGGTAATGTACCTGCATTTTTTTTTATCCACCCCTTCAGCTATAGATAGAATGCAGGTGTTTGTGCTCTGCTGTTTGCATTCTACATTAATTTGATATTTATAGAAGTAGATGGGACTGCTTCATCTGTTTGCCAGAAGGCTAACCAGGTGGTCTTCCCATAGTTTATGTTTGGCACACAAAGCTAGAGAGAGTGTTAATCTGTAATCTTAAACAGGATTAAAATTAGTTTTGTTGTTAGGTTCTTATCAAAAGGTAGCTTAAACTTGAAAAGCACAAGTAAAAAATGTACATCCTGTTTTTGACCAGAAGTGTTTGTAACCTATTTTGGTGTTGAATTAAAAGATAATAATGGTTTGAGTGGTAGTTCTTTTTTTTTTTTTAACCAGCCTTAGATATCTTCACAGGCAGGAATCACAATGTGAATAGTTAGCTTTATATAATCCATAGTCAGTAAGAAAATAATCTATCCTAGATTTAAATACTCCCTATTTTGTGTTTTTCTGCTGTTATGTAAGGTGTTTGACTAATACCTGATATTTTGTGAATCATTGTTTTCACACTTTCCCTTTGGAGAACCTAAATTAAGCCAAAGACTTCTTAGTACTTTTGTAACTTCACAGAAATTCGAAATACAAATTCCTTGTAATACCTCCTGATTTGGATGGATGGATGGATGGATGGATGGATGGATGGATGGATGGATGGATGGATGGATGGATGGATGGATGGATGGATGGATGGATGGATGGATGGATGGGTGGATGGATGGATGGATGGATGGATGGATGGATGGATGGATGGATTTGAATATAAAGCACTGAAGAGAAATAAACTGTTTTTAAACGGTTATTCCTTTACTGAATGACCAAAAAAAAGGAAGAACTTCCTACGCAGCCTCATTTTGTCAGCTTCCATCTGTTGGATGCTATAGTAACCATCAACTGTGTTCAAGTGACAGCTTTGCAACTCTTGAATGCTTCACGCTCTCATCACTTTTAAGCACTATGTGGTTTTTAGAGACCATAACATTTCAATCAAGTAATATTTTTAGATATCACTGTGAAATTCACAATAAAACAAGGTGTACTGCTTATCTAAGGATATTTTTTGTAATTGTAAACACAACTATTCATTATATTATTATGTGTTAAAAACCTCTCTTTTTTGTTTGTTTGTTTTTTCTTCTGTTATTGTCGCAGTGCCAACAGTATGCCTAAACAAGTGGAGGTGAGGATGCATGAGAGCCACCTGGAACCCATTGAGGCAAGGCCCCGGTCCAAATGTGGCCAAATCTGCTCCAAAATGTTCAAGAACCTCCTCCTCACACTCACCGTCCTTGGTGAGTAAGCCCCTTTTTATTCCTAGAAGTCTGATAAAAAGCTTTGATATTTGTTAGCATTTTTTTTTACTGCTAGCTGTAGAATAAGGAGGAGACGCCATCTGTTCTCAGTGTTCCAGACAGTATGATAACTGGGTGTTCTGACCTTCCATGGCAGAGCTGGGGCCACCTGTTTGTGTCAAAGGCTATTTCCCACACACTTGTCATCCAAACAACCCATGGTGATGCATGCAAAGTGGTTAACATGTGAGACAAGATAAAGTACATTTAGGATGGGGTTGTTGAACATATCTTTAAATAGATTTGTTAAACCATCATGCCTATGTAACCTATAAATGATCACATAATGGATGGGACATCCCAGAACCCTCATTAAGTGAGCCGACAGGGTCATCATTTTCCTGTCATATTACAGATAAAGGCCTAAAAGTGAAGTAAAAGACTACAAAGGCAAAGAACAAAAGAGAAATTCTGAACGCTGAGTATATAGAATCCACCTGACGCTGCCAGCCCTGGGAGTTGTTTTTTTTTTTTTACTGACTGTAGACCATTTAAAATAATTAATGCAGAAATTGGCCATTGATATAGTGAGTACATCTGTCTCTGCTTTGTGGATAATCTTGTGAGTGAAGGAGGAGGGAAAAAGCAATAATTTGACATACATAAGGAACAAACTCATACTTAATAAGGATGTCAGACAAAATTCAACTTTTAACAGTTAAAATAAAAAAGAATTGTAATTTATAAAGTTCCCAGCAAAACCAGAGTGATTCCTGATATAAATATTTGTTTCCTATTTGTTAAATGATCTGTTGATAAAGCGTAATTAGCAGTGATTTTGATAGTTGGCGATGGAAAGCACGTGTTTCAACAATCAACAGTTCAACAATCTTAATTTCAAACTTTTCTGTTAATTTATATTTCTTTAACTGACCGTTGCGGGAGCTGGTTAGGATTTTGAGAGAAGGGGGCTGAGAAAAAACTTTATCCATTCAAAAAGTCACAGAAAGTGGGTCTGTTTACTTTTACAAAACACTTTACAGTACAGTATTTTATTGTTTATCTTTTAACTCTTCACTATTATGTTATTCTTATACATTTTTCTAAGGTTCATATTTGTGTGACCATTTTTTCTAAAATCTTTTCGCTGCTGTAAACACCAGAATTTCCACATTGTTGAACAATAAAGGGATTTTCCATTATATTCTATTCTTCTATTCTTACCTGGTGCAGAAGAGAAAGTGACAGAGTTTTTATCCTCTCTATGGAAATATTTAGTTTCAGCTACATAAAATATGTACAACTACCCAGAGCCCCACAGGCTGGTTAGCTGTCAAATATCTTGACAGAGTAGCTGAAGCAATAAAGTATGTCCAGTGTACAAGTGTTCCCATGAGAAGCTTATAGAATATTGAAACACCTCTATGGTTTACAATCTGAGTAAACCACTGTGAAACTGCTACCATTTTTATAAGACAAAAGTGCAATAGGGAGATTTACATTTAAACTGGAATTCAATGACTATGTATTGTATATCAATTTTGTGAAATAAAACGCAAAAAAATCTTTGATTAAAGATGCCAAACCAGGAAACCCGACAATTTGATTTGCTCGTTCTTCTAAAGCAATCTGATGTTAGTTGGTTTTAGTTTATCTTCAAAACGCTGCTTGTTAAATGTCACCCATAGCATCTCGTTTACCACTGACTGGAGAATGTGGGAGTTGTAACAGAGGTGTCTTGAAAGACAAATATCAACATCAGGAAAGAAAAGAAAAAAAAATTAAAAATGTTCCAACTGTGAATATTTTTTCTTCGCTTAAAGCTAAATTTATCACCATTTAGTGATTATTCATGTTCCTTATTCTTTCACTTTAGGTGTGATCCTGGGAGCTGTAGCAGGGATGTTGCTGCGTGTTGCTTCTCCCATTCATCCAGATATTGTCATGGTGATCGCCTTTCCTGGAGATATCCTGATGAGGATGCTAAAGATGTTGATCTTGCCTCTCATTATCTCCAGTTTAATTACAGGTGAAAACCGAGCTATTATGACCACAAACTTTTAATTGTATAAAAAAAAAAACAGCATAGCTCATGTAGAGTGAAAGTATTTTTTTTCCTTCGATTTTGTCTATTGTAGTATTTCTGTATTATACTTAATTTGGATCATATAATCCACAAATTAATTTGTAATTAAATTATTATAGGCTGTTTTATCTGTTTTCTTCTAACATCTTAATGATGTCCGCTGCAGGTTTGGCTGGTCTGGATGCTAAATCTAGTGGTCGCCTGGGTACCAGAGCTATGGTCTACTACATGTCCACCACAGTTATCGCTGCTGTTCTGGGTGTCATCCTGGTGTTAGCCATCCACCCCGGTAACCCCAAGCTGAAGGAGAATCTTGGCGAGGGCGAGAAAAATGATGATGTGTCCAGCTTGGATGCCTTCTTTGATCTGATAAGGAATCTTTTCCCAGAGAATCTAGTTCAGGCCTGCTTCCAACAGGTAACAGATAAGATTATATTTTGGTTAGAATTTTGAAAGGGTCCAATATAATTTGGGAATTGGCTTTTCTTAATTTAAAGTATGTTAAACTGGAGGGGGAAAAATCTATTATAGAAATAAGTTGGCTTAAGACTGTCAAGGTTGGTGGATGTTGTTGAGGACCCAAATGCAGAGTAGTAGGAGGCAGAGATGAGTTCTTGCAGATTTAATTTAGAAACAAATTATAACAGAAGCATAAATCCAAAAACAGTGCAGGAAACCAAGAACCAGGAGATGCCAGGGAGAAACACACATGAGGAGTAAGATAATGAAGAGAATCCAGCACTGATGAACTGCTGAGTGAGGATTATATATAGGAGACAGAACAAAGAGTGGAGTAACAAGTTAATTGGGAGCAGGTTTGGACAGAAGGAGCTAGAAAGGAGCTAAGGGAAAAGGAAAGGGGCATTAGGAGGCAACAAAGAGTAACCAGGGAAAACAGGGTTTAACTGTAACTGGAAATTAACTTAAATTAGGCTGAGGGGGAATAAAACTAATGACTACAAATAAAGGAATAACCAAGGGGAAAACAAGAAGATAGGAGAAGGGACTGGAGATAACCGAAGCCATGACAAACATAGGCTAAGGATAAGAGAAAGAATAACTAACTGAAACTAGACCAAGGAATAAATAATAGCAAAAATGCTGAAAAGAGTAAAACTAAGAACCCCAAAATTTATTAACTCTTGACAATCCAGAATAGCATAAAATAAAGCATAACTGACAACCCAAAATGAAAACGTACACAGAATGAAAAAGTCCAGAATCGCAGATCATGACAAAGACAAAAGCTGTGAAGCTGTTTACTTAACCATGCAGATTACGTGATACAGATTATATTAGCTGTACCGTCACTAGTTTACACTGGGAGCATTTGCAGATTTTAACATGCAGGACTTTTGCAACATAACTATTGCACTTTCATGCAAATAATAGCTACCGTAAATTCTCTAATATAGGCCCGGGCCTTTATTTCACTCAAGTGCATCGCGGTCCAGGCCTTTATTGGATAGAGGCCAGTATTAGAGACAGGCCTCTATTGCTATTTGAGCAAAACAGACTACCAGTGGAATGAATAAAAATGAGATTTTGTGTCTATTTGAACCTATAAAACACTAGGTTCATTTATTGAAAAAGTAGTTACCATGTCTCGCTTGGTTTGAAGTAAAAAAAAAAAAATATAAAAATCCTCCAATTCTGTTTAATTCTCCTCCTCAGTTTCCTCCTCCTCTTCATCTCTCCCTTTAATCTCCTCATCACTTGCGCTGCTCCTCCTGTTCTGCTGCGTGTCTGTTCTCTTCCTCGCGCAGACGGGCAGCAGCAGGGCTTGTCGTTCAGCTGCGCAGGGCTGTGGTACTTGTATGTTACTTACTACCACAAGTATAATGTTGAGGTATGCCCAGAAAAAACGTTTATAGCCCCGGCCTGTATTAGAGACCGGCCATTATTTACCTCCTCTGACAGCGAGACCGGCCATTATTAGAGACCCGGCCGCTATTGGAATACAGGCCAATATTAGAGAATTTACGGTATACACATACAGTATAAATCAGACAAATATTACTGCAAGGATCTCAGGCAGAGAGGGATTTTTTTACTTTCTATTTCCATCCATCCATTTTCTGGCATGCTTAATCCCAAGTGGGGTCGTTAGGGGTGCTGGTGCCTATCACCAGCTGTCTACAGGCGAGAGGTGGGGTACTCCCTGGACAGGTCGCCAGTCCATACTTTTTATTTGTTTCTTCTAACCCTTCTAAGTAAACATTTGACACATGAGTGCCCATCTACCGAGGGACAGAGCAGGATATATTCTGATAGGAATAAAATTGGCTGCTTTCAAATAGCACACTGAACTTACTGTTAATTTCAGTAAAAAAATCTAATTTAGAGAAATATTACAGTCTAAATATACATTTTTTAAACATTAAATTTAACTTTGTGTTAAGATTTGGTAATAAAACATTAGTAAACCAATAAGGGAGCCCTAATGCTTTGTATGAATATTTTTCAGATCCAAACAGTTACAAAAAAAGTGGAAATTGCTGTTGAAGAGGAAGTCAATGTCACTACTGTGGAGGGACTGGTTGCTAACATTACCAAGGAGCCTCAGTTCATCATCAAAAAGTCCCTTCAGTTCAAAAGTGGCATGAATGTTTTGGGTATGTAAGCCTGGGACATCATTAATGCACTGCAAACATTATTACCATTGAAATGTTCATCCAATTTATGCCAGGATCATCCTGCTGCCATGCCAGTCATTTCAAGTGTGTGCTAAAACTTAATAGGCAGAGAGAACCAAGCTACTTGTGATGGAGAGGTTTTCATTTTTCTGCTGTTGCGGCATTTTCATCAACATAGAACAAGTCATCTTCAGAATTTTTTTTTTGTTGGACTTGGCATTGTAAATATCTTTAATAAGGGAAATTGTTAAGATATTTAGATCATGCTTTTCTGCTTTCTTCCTGCCGAAGCTAGCTGATGAGCTAACCCTGCATTGCTGTAATGCAAGGTCTGATGCATTCATACTTTTCTGTCACAGGTCTGATTGGTTTCTTTATTGCATTTGGCATCTGCATGGGAAAGATGGGCGAGAAGGCCAGACTCATGATTGAATTCTTCAATATCCTCAATGAGATTGTGATGAAACTTGTCATCATGATCATGTGGTTGGTATCCCTCATTAAGTTTTTTTTTTTTGACCCATTTAAATTTCACACTTATTTTAAAATAAATTAATCGGTAAATAATTTTTTTTTTAGATGCTTTTTTTTTTCACAAATAAAAGGCATCCAGATTCAATATTTTGGCATGAGAGAGTGTAAACACTTCCATCTCTCAGTGCAGCAAAGTGTGGTAGTCCTTTATACATCTAGAGATGTCTGGCATGTTTACTTTCCCAATGATCTCAAGGTCAGTGGAATTAAATGGAGATCATTTTTTAATTTATATTTTTCAGCCATCCCTTTAGGTACTCGATGGGAAAGAACCTTGGAGTTAGGTCGTGTTTTTCTGACAGTTAGATAGGGTTTGATCTAAACCATTCCATCGAAGCTCTGGCTTGATATCTAATGTTTCCTATCCTCTAAATATGCAAAAATGTGTTTTTTCATAAAATTTAAAAAGGTCCATTTTGTATTCATACACAAAAGCAAACTTTCTTCCATATGTTTGCTTTGTCCCCTGCATGGCTTGTGCCAAAGTGCGACTCTTCCATAAAAGCCAGTTTTATGGAAAGCATGACCTGTGGTTGTCACGTCAACAGGTTCATCAATACAATTTCAGAAAAATAAAGTCAACTTTGAGATAGCATTACACAGTAAGGAGATTTTCACAGGGGTATCAAACACGATAACAAGTGAACCTTCCAAAGTAGCGAGAGCAAACTCTTTAATTTCATGTTATTTTTGATCATTTAAACAGTACTACAACTTTTTTGGATTTTCCCATATTTTAATTTCAAAGTAATAGAAAACTCTTTTTCATCTCATAAGGTACTCTCCCTTTGGTATTGCCTGTCTGATTTGTGGCAAGATCATCTCCATTAAGGACTTGGAAGTGGTAGCCAGGCAGCTTGGCATGTATATGGTGACTGTAATTATTGGCCTCATCATCCACGGAGCAATCTTCCTGCCCAGCATCTACTTTGTCATCACAAGGAAAAACCCCTTCACCTTTTTCTTGGGAATCTTCCAGGCCTGGATCACTGCTCTGGGGACAGCTTCCAGGTTAGAATGAATACCAATGAATGAGTGAACAAATGAATAAGTCATTTTTTTGTGTACAAATTATTTTCCTGTGGTTTGAGTGTGTATTTATAGTCCTTCTTGTTCCTGCTTTTATCTCTAGTGCTGGTACACTGCCTGTCACCTTCCGCTGCCTGGAGGAGAATTTGGGCATTGACAAAAGAGTCACTCGTTTTGTACTCCCAGTAGGTGCCACCATCAATATGGATGGAACTGCTCTGTATGAGGCTGTGGCTGCAATCTTTATTGCCCAGATGAATGGTGTGTATCTTGACCCTGGCCAGATTGTCACAGTCAGGTGAGATAAACACTATTTTATGCTAGAATTTATTTTATGTGATTCAGGGTTAAAAGCCTGTTGTTTGTAAACTAAGTTTCTAGGGTCTGAGCTGTAGCCAGACCATATATTACCAGTAAACAGGACAATTAAAATGAAGCAAATAAACCAGCATGGAGAGGCAGCCACAGTGTCAAGCCTCATGGCAGGCAGGAAGAAAAACAGCGGGCATTTGCTCTCTTTCATTAATCTTTGCCAAAAGACTCTACACATGGTGTGCTTAAGATGGATGACCCTCACTTTGACACTTTTATGGCACATAAATCAATGAAGCCTAAAATTAAACATGTCATATTTCCCATTTTGGAGCAAAATTTGGTTCTCTCCAGGGGATTTTCTTTATGCAGGCTAAAGAGATCCTGAATAAAGACAAAGTTTGAATTTTCTCATTATACGTGTTTCTTCTGTGTAAGCTTTTCAATCCCACTTAAATGTTTGAGATTATGAAGATTTAACCTTCGTAAATACAATTATACAGTGAGGGAAAAAAAATCCCAATACTAATAGTGACTTAAAGCAAAAGGGTAGTGTGTAGACATGCTTGACACCTTCAAGAGTGGCTAAATTATAACAGTCCTGAATATCTTAATGGGCTGATCCTCCACCCTCCCACCAACTGTCTTGCAAAGGATGGCACATTAGCATGGACTTTAAGAGGTTTGATAGGGGTTTTTTTTTATAGTTTCTTCCCCTTGAAAAACTGCATTTCAAAACTGAATTTTGTATTTTCTCTGAAGATCTGAATTATTCAAAGATGACAATAGGGCAACAACAGAGGAAATTTATAAGGGGAAAAAATTGTTAACATACTGGCTTTATATATTAGGAGATTTGATTAATTAAGTGTAGCTAATTTTCTGAATAAATCCAGGGAATAATTCCTCTTTTTTTTTTTTTTTTTTTTAGTCTAACAGCCACCCTGGCCAGTGTGGGAGCGGCCAGTATTCCCAGTGCTGGCCTGGTGACCATGCTATTGATCCTTACTGCTGTCGGCTTGCCAACTCAGGATATCAGTCTGCTGGTTGCTGTTGACTGGCTGTTGTGAGTCTAATAGAAGCATGATGACATTGTTAATTTGTTTTTTTTATTCTTACATAGATGTTCTTAATGAAATATGATGATGTGTTTTAATGACATGGTTTGCTCTCCTCAGGGATCGATTCAGGACCTCGGTGAATGTGGTTGGCGACTCCTATGGTGCAGGCATTGTGTACCATCTATCCAAAGCAGAGCTGGATGAGCTAGATGCACACATGGCTAAATCGGACGACATTGAAATGATGACAAAGACCCCGTCCTATTATGATGATATGAAGAACCACCACGAAAATAATTCCAACCAGTGCGTTTTAACCACAACTGCTACCACAGCTGCTACTGCTAACACTAACTGTTCTGTCTTAGTAGATGAATGCAAGGTACAATTAACACTTTCTGACTTAGAGACCTCTATATAACCCTCCAGCTGCATGCTCATTCTGTAGATTTGCTTTGTTTCTGCTTGCTTTACACTTCACCTTTGTAAAACCGGGCTTACACTGTGTGATTTTTTTGCCCTTTTCCGGGCAACTTTGCTGTTATGCGAGTATTTCCCAATCTCAGCCTGATCGTGCATCTATTATGCAGGGTGTAATGAAGACTGATCAGCCTCTCACGACCACCTCCCAATCAGGAATCATGAAGTAGGGAGTTGACCGTTTCAGTTGACCGTCGTGGACAAATCGCTCAGTGTGCAAACAAGGACGCTGTTTCTTCTTCTGCCTCTCAGATGAAGACACAGAAGCATGGCGGGTGGCGAGTAAATGGAGTTATTTCTGTAAAATTGACAGACCGTAGTAGCCACGTTTGCTCAGCCATGTCTTTGTCCAAATACGTGCTTTCAGCACAAAATTGCACATTTCCAAGGCAGCGCGTTTCACTCTAGTGAACTTCATGTTCCTTTTCTACTGGTTTAGCTTCCGGATAGACGAGTCAGAGTAGCTCCATCTCACTGCGGAGCTGAGTCCGACGTGGTTTTTAGACTTGTGAGCATCAGAGCGTCGGGCCGCACAGTGTGAGAATATACATCGTGAGCTGTGAACTCACACTGTACGATGAAACAGTGTGAGCTGTACCTGCGTGCAACGACTGAAAAAAATCACACAGTGTATGCCCAACTTAAGCTGAGATGCACATGCTGTTTCTTTCACAAGTGAACCAGGTAAATGCACTACGTTTACTCTTCTGGAATAGCTGCTTTTGTGTTTAACCCTTTACAGGGCACTCAGTGGAATACTTTGAAATTCAAAATTTCAAGTCAAGAGTTTTATTTAAGGACAGAACAAGAACTTATTACTTTTCTAACATTAACACAGGAATTTTCAGGCCAAAAATCAAGGCTAATGTAATTACCAAAAATAACAATTTCACCTAATATCGTTAAAGAAAATCCAAAGTGCTTTATATAGAAATTCGTGAAAAACACCTACAGAAAGAAAGAAACATATCAGAACATTAATACAGATCCTGGAACTTAATTTTTTACTGTTAAACTTAGCTAATTAACTTTTTAAATGTTCTTTTTTACTTTTTTAGTTAGTTAAGCTACATTTTCAACTTCACTTTTTTTTTAACTTAATTTACAGTAGCTAACATATCACACACACGGTATGAAACATTAGATTACTGGTGGTATTCTATGGAGCAGTTACATTTAGCTTTATGACAGAGGTGGACCTTGCAGACTTTACAGATTACATTTGACTTCACCATTTTGAATCAAGCTGAATCAAATGAGGGGCTCGTTACCACTTAGAAGTAATTAAGTCATTTGAATCAGCTGTGTTTGAGCAGGGAAGCCCCGCTCTATGGTGACTTGTGATTTTGAAAGACACTATTCCTTAATAAAATAACGTTTATTAAGAGGTTTCCTTTGTATCATAACTTCAAAATAGATTTTCAAAATAAAGTCTAAATAAGTAATTCAACAAGATATCTCAAGGCTTAACTTCACTTTATCTTGTTGTGGCTGATCATATTTGCTGTCATCCATTTAACCTTGGATTAAAGTGTAGTCACAGGAAATGTTGCATAATTAGCAGTTCATATATTACTGGTGCACACCTCGCAATCACACTTGAGTGAGTTGTTTCCTTGCAGGGTTTAAATACTCGAACACAATTTATTTCTCCTAACTTTGAGAGCTAGGCCAAATCAATGTAAAGCTGCGATAATTCTAATGTAAAACAGGTAAAAATCACACCTGTAGATGTGTTATCATTGGTTGCAGCCGGAAATAGCTAGTTCCCTGACACTTGCATACCTTGGTAGAGGAACTATGTTGATGAGGCTTTTAGGAGGATGAATTGAGTTGCTAAGCAACATTATAAATATGTAAAAAACAAAAACCCATTCAATGTTGTTCATTTTAGGATATTTTTGAATAAGTATAGCCGGAACTCAAAGGTGTGCTACTTCCAGTATTTGTGCTTTTTTCTAATTCTACATGTTGTTTTGATGTAAATTAAAATAAATATTTAGTAAGAGAGTAAGAAAAATAGTCAAAATATTACAGTTCTGTGCAAAACTGCCCAATTACTATCATGCCAAAAAGTATTTTTAATTATCTTAAAAAAATGTTTTCAGAAGTGATAAATGTTTGGGTTTTGAGAAGGCCATTCAGGTTATTTTTTACCAACCGATTCTATTTGAGTCTAGTTATTATTAGTCCAATTTTAGATATGGCAGCTTTTTCTGTAATAACTTCTAGACAAATATATTTTGGCTTAATGCTTAACATTGTCATTAATAATTCATGACTGCTAGTTCATAGTATAACTGATGTATCTACTCAAAACAGAAAATAAGAAAACACTAAAGTTAATTCCAAGTATGTCATTTGGTACTTTGACATAAGTAGATATCTTTAAACTATGTGTTTCTGAAATTTATACAAATAAGTCACATTAATTAAATTAATGATATTAAACTGTATTTGGACTTATCATTTGCATACACTTGATAATACAACACAAGAGGCTGCTCTGCCCAAAATAGAGGCAATTATTTAAAATCTGTAAAGACAGAAATAAAACCCAAGAAAATACACTTATAAGAGGCCTTTAGTTTTAGGGGGAAAAAAACTGATGGCTTGAAAGAAACGTGAAATTAAATCAGGGTTTTTTAAAACTTATGTGCAAGTCTGCATGCAACAAAAATAGATACAGGAATTTTTTAAATAAATATACACTGATACCTTTTTGGTTTTTAAAAAACTCCTTTCAGACCTATTTTTCTGACAGATAATTTTGTTCCCTCATGGAAAATTGATTAAATGAAGAATTTACTTGTGGAAAAACATGCAATTTTTTTTATATTTATCTTCGGATCAAATGTTTTAGTTTAGAATTTCTGAAGTTGGTTTATATGCAGTATATATCTTGCCATATCAGCTAACTCATATCAAGTCTCCAATTTATTAAATTAAGGCTTCTGCTAATAGTGACAAATACTACAAATGCTCTATTATGAACATTTACCTTTCTATAATGTTTGTATGCAAATGCTTATCAATGGCCGTTTAATGACCAAATTCAATATGAAAGCATTTTAAAGATTTATAAAATAGAATTTATAGAAAAAGTCTGCAAAAGTCAACTTTTGCTTCTCTCTTCCGAGTCATTAGCTTTAGATCTAATGAAAAACTACTCTTGACTTATCATAAATAGAGATGCAAAGTAATCTATCTGCTAAAGTTACATATTACTGTACGTATTACATATTTTTTAATAGAACCATAAAAATGATCAAAACTGCTTTTAGGTTTAGAGGCTATCTGACTTTTTTAACCTGTGGTGCTTAAATCTTGCTGCTCATTGCTTGCAGGTAACCTCAGCCGCTAATGGTTCTGCTGCGGAGTGCACGCTTGATGAGGAGGAACCAAGGAAACATGAATAATGGCAGCGTAGAGATCCCCCTGCTCCTGGGCTCCACGAGCTTTGCTATCTGGTGATAAAACAGAAGAGTAAATGAAAAGTCACGTGAACAGAACTACTAATGTTTTTTTATGTAGTTTTTTTTTTATTTTCTATTATTAGTCCCTTTAAAAAACTTTTTGTATTTTTGTCTATCTGACTGATATGTTATACTAATTCACTTAACTGTGAGCTGATAACAGAGTCATACCTCACCTGTTAGAGTTCAGTCATATCCTGAATAGCAGATACTTGCACAACATGCTTCAAGGCTTGGGGAGGAAGGAGGAGATGAAAAAACTGGACAAATATTTTTAGTAACAAGTTTCATTTGTATGTTTATATGAAAAGCAACAAACTGGTGGTATTTTACACATACTGAGGCTGTCTTGTATGTCTCATAAAGGTGGTGCCCTTTCATCAAATTGGGAATCCCTGTTAATTCAGAAAATTGCTATCTGTATTAAAGCAAGTATCTTTTGAAAAAAAATCATTAAATTCTTAATATTTTATCCATTGCCTACCTTGTAAACAGGCCATAGGGAAATAACTCTGAGCCTCTTCACATGGAAATATTATATTGCAAAGATTATCCCATAAAGCCAGTATTTGTTTTCCCTTTTCTTCTGTGAAGAAAATTGACTTTCCTCTTTCACGCGTTGAGAGAGATTTCAAAACTAATTTATTTGTGTGGAGAGAAAAATTACTACAGGGATCAAACGGCTATAAAATCAACCCGTTTGCAGAACCCCTAGCACTACTTGTCGCTTTTTCTATTTGCAACACACTGACTATTTTTATTCAGCTGTGTTGCCCCTAAAATCCCTGTTCTAAAAATTAAACTTTACGTAGCACTTTTTAATTTTATTCCCCAAAGTAAATTCATGATGCCAATGAAATTAAAAGTAATTTTTATAGCTAAAAAAGTGAAAGATAACTCTAATATATAGAGATATGGAAATATATCACCCTGAATGAAACATAAGGATTATACTGAACACAAATGATGCCAACTTGGTATTTCTTGTTGGTGTTATCTTTGCCCATTACACCTTTTCTCTTTTTATGAAACTGATTTACAGAAAGCACAACCGGATACTCAGGCCTTTTTTGTTTACTATGACAGGAAAACCTTGTCCTGCAATATTAACGTGTTTACTTTATCAATTTTTGTACTTTTCCAATGCTTTGTCTGTAAAAAATTGTTTACCTTGGACATTCATCTTTAGAAAATATATCTATATTTTGGAAAGGGAGGATTTCCAGCACAATAAGCAAGCACAGATATTCATTTTTGTAGCTACACTCAAGTGGCTGAATCACCTTGTTACCTGAGAGCACACTCATCTTTTAACACTTATAGAGCACACTAGATGAACAAACACAAACAATTTGCCAATAATAAACCTTTTCAAGAGGATTCTTGAACTGATTCCTAAAAATGTAATAGTTTCATTGCCATCAGAGCTCAAGACTGTTCCTACAAACCCTATATGCTGCAGCTGTGCTTTTGTGCCAATCAGACGACTTCTTTGGAGACTCCAAACAAAAAGGGACAAACAGAGTAATTATGAGAAGAGCATCTGCCTCAGTTTAAAAAGATGGTAAATGTCTACAGAGCATTGAAGTAATGCATACCAATGTTGGTTAAAGGGAAAGTTCAGTATTTTTGGTAATGTATCTGAAGTATAACAAGTCTCTTGGCTTTGTCATATGACTGAAATCTAAGTTAGCTGGTTATAAAGGCTGGAGCTAGGAACTAACTAGAAGGGAACAAGACAAAAATGAACTTCCTGCTTCCTAAAAAAACACTACTGTCAAAGCAGTTCATGCAATGTGTTATGAACCTAACAACATTCACCATGTTATAACTGACTGGATATTTCTAAAGAGGAGAGTTATTATTTACACAGGAAAAGGATGTTTGAAGCAGTGCGACACCAGTGTTCTTGCTCTTTGAAACAGGTACACAGGACCTGTGCTGTATTTATTTGTCATACTGACCACCTTGTTGAAAACGAAGCACAATAGATATTTTTGCTGTTGGCACTTAAAAAGCTAACCTGGGGTTTTAATTAAGATCTTTTTTTAAATTGGTCTTTAAGTTGGATAATTTTAAAACTCCATTATCTACGTGGGCACACTTTACCAATATGCACTTCAAACCATAACAAAAACACTAGAAAAAAAACCTCAATAGGTAATTTTTCTTAAAATAAGTGCATTTATTCTTGAATCGAGGAGGTAAGTGAGACACTTTGCCAATGGAACAAAACTATTTAGACTTAAAATAATAAAAAGCAACTACATTTTCTTTTTCCAAGTGCATATAATCTAATTACCTTATTTTAAGAGTAAACCAAACTAATTCTATTGGCAAATCATTTTATTTACCTGCTCAAATTAAGGTTAAATACACTTAATCTAAGACATTTTCACTTATTTTTATGTTGTTTTGCAGTCAATTAAGAAAAACAGGAAAGTTTGAAGCAGTCAGACAGACAGGCAGAAAACTGCTTTTCTTTTTTACTGCCTCTTTTACTTTCTTAAGGATAAAGCTGTGTGGATAGCAATAACTGCCTAAAGCAAACATAACCATGGCTTAATTAATGCATAGAACAGCGTTAGCATGAACTGCTCCAGTGCTGTAGGTAGCGGCTGTTTGAAAAAGCAAATCTTGGGTTCCCTCAGGTTAGGAGTTAGTTTCAGCTTCCCATTACCTGAATCCTGAATTTTCCATTAGCTCTGTAGAAAACAGGAGTGAAACCCTCTATCATGTGGTTTTGGACTCAATTGATTTCAGCACTGGATCAGTCTCTCCTCTTTGGTTTCTTTTCAGTTTTGAGGAATGACAACCATGCCTTGAAGGTAACAATAGAAGAATTAACAGAGCATTTAGAGCCACTCTGTCCTTTAGTTGTTGAAGCACACTCACAATAGACACCTTTAAATGTATCTAACATAAGTGCTTATGAGCAACAATCTGCATACTTGGTGTTTTGCGTAACATAATAAAAAACGGACGTATGCTCAGATAAGAAAAAAAGAACACATATGCTGATAGATAACCTTTTGTTTGGTTCATGAAAAACACTTAAATCTTTAAAAAAAAAAGTTTTAACCACACTGTCTGAGCTGCAGGGGACATAAATGAGATAAACAGGCTCTTTAAGCCTTATCTTTAGAGCTTGTGGTCTTCAGGAAATATATAAATAAATCTTTCCACTATGGAGACGATGCAGACCATAGTATCAATAAAGGGGAATGAGTGTTGAATGACTACTATGTTCATATGATGTCTGTAGATGCATGAATTGAATTAAACTGCTAATTTTTTTTTTTTTTGCACCACTATCTGAAAAGCATATTTTGAAGTGCCTCAATGCACTTTGTGTATATATTGTAGTTAACAGATTTTTTTTCCTTTTATTGATTTGTTTTATTTCTTTTGAAATAAGTTTTAGAAATAAAGTTTTATTCCTGTGACTCTTTAAAATGTAATCACCTAGAGGAGGAAAAAAAACATTTATGTTTTATTAGATTAGACCAAATGTATAGAGGAAATTATGTAATAAATTGATTGTTTTTATTTTCTAATTGCTTTCAACTAGCTGTTTAACATACCCGTCCCCCACACAGTATATAAATATCTTTTTTGTTTTTGTATCTAATGTGATCGTTTTTGTTCTATAAAGATATAAGCAGTGTGAATTCATTTTCATTGTACATACATGGATATAATTGTTCTGTTCAGTGGCAATGCAGAGGTTTATTAAAATTTGCAGTGATCCTGAAACAAATGTTTTTTGCATGGAAGGAGAAAGGTGAGAAAGAAGAAAGATAAAGAAAGATAAAGGTTGAGCAATGATTCTTTTAAAGGAATCTCACTTACTGTATTTGAGGTAGAACTTTTGTAAAGACAAAAGAAAAAAGGTCAAGTTTGCCCTCTGTGTAGAACAGAGAGAAAGAGAGAGATGAACCATAGCGAAGTTAATCAGCTATTTCTATGCCTAAGGAGCCATAATCCTCAGGTGAATGATCTGAAACATTTTCAAAATGCTGGCTTTTTAGTCTCAGGCATCTTTGTTCAGTGGATTCATCTCAAGCTGTGAGACATGGACATCTGCATCCCTCAGAGTCTGTATATCACATCACACTTTCCATCTCTGATGAAAAATGAGTGTCAATAAGGTTTCTAGGAATCCCACTTGGTTAATTACCATAATTCTCAATGGCTTTTGCATTTGACACTGAAAAAGTATGCAAGACAAAAAGTAAATAGCAGAATGAAATGAATGAAAACCTTTGACCTTGTCATCGTGTAAATTCTGTCTTTTTCAAGAAACAGAAATAATGATGTGTTTCATCTCGGCATTAAAATTGCTTGTGGTCTACCCTTATTGTAAACATGTTGTAATATCTCTGCAGTGACAAGAGAGTATGTGTGGGGGAAATATGTTTGGGTAAAAATTAAGAACAAAGTATTCTTTTCTCAGTTTTTGGTCAACATAAAAACAAAATTTCTCTTTCTACATATAAGCAAGTGTTGTACCCTTGGTGTACATATACAAGAAAAACTAATAAATGTTCATAACCATGTTCTGTGTGACTTACTTAATACTTTTGATGATTCAATATCATTTGTTGGTTGAATTTAGTCAGATTGTAAGTCATATAGATTATTTTTCTCAACCATTTGGTTTATTGTATTTAAAAAAACAATGTAGTTTTCATTTCATTGGAGTCATTTTATGGTCTAACTCTAAACTCTCTCTCAAGGAGTCACTGGAATCTTAGTGTAGTGCTCTAGGCAGTAAATGTATCTGTTTCATGATTTAGATTGCTGAGCACATAGTGCACAACCACATGCTTAAGGATAAACACTTTAATATTTAAATCTCCTTGATGCTCTTGTAGGCATATATTAGTTCTGCATCTCACTAGAGACTCGACTGGGTTTGATAGCACCCTTTCATGAATGGGATAACTGTAAACAGTAAAGTAAAAAAAAACTTAGGAAAAGAATGTGGAAAAAAAGAAATACATTAAAGCATAAAATAAAATGCTATCATTCATCTAGAAAGTAGATAAAAAATAAAATAATAAATTAGATGATAAAAAATAGTTTGTATTTTATAATAATAAATACCTATTTAGCTTATTTTATAACTATAAGATTAGAAATTGTTTCTAGAATTGGTACCAGAAAAAAAAACAACAACAACAACAAAAAAAAAAAAAAAACATCTGGATTTAAAGTAACATAACTTGATGCTGTAAATTAATAATTCTGTCTGGTTGATAAATAAAGGCTGAATAAAACAAATAAATGAAACACTCCTTTTTACAATGAAAATGAATTATGTAAAGTTGAAAACAACAACTAATCTTTCCAGTGATGCTTTTTATACCCAATTTTTCTGACTGGGCAATTTACATTACATTCATAGATGAGACTTTTCTTAACAGGTATGAGGACAACCTTTTTAAGAGCACAGCACAGTAAGGTGAATGCTTAGAAATAGTAAGAGACAGTTAGTGTAGCACCCTGAACCTTTAGGTGCACCAGTATATAATCAAATGACTTTTTTAAGGTAGTATAAATGTGGAACTTAAAATATAAAAGAGCCACAGAAAGATCATCTTAATTCTGGTTGTTTGGCTGTCTAAAATGTCTAACAACTGATCCTGGCATTCACGTTCATAGGCATGTTAAGTGGCTTCAATGACAGTAGAAGCAGAAGAAAGAAGGATGTTGCTGCTGCTCAGGTATTGAGCACTATACAATAGTTTCTAAAAAAAAAAAAAAAAAAAGAAGAAGAAGAAGAAGTTAAAGGAGCAACATAGATCAATGTTTAATTTAGCTGATTTTATCTTTGGGTTCTACCCAGCTAATGTACTGTATAGGTGCAAAAAAATAATCCTATAACATGGGTCATTGTAGTCATATGGTCAATGCAGTCCTGCAAAAATCATAAATGTAAACATTTTAGATTAAACTTTGTTGGCATCCAAAGCTTCTACATACTGTTCATTCATTTTAAACTATTCCCTATAGCTACTGGAGAATGTAGTCCGTATAGGCCAGAAAGCAGAGTCGTAGTTTAACACACCTCTCTGCAGCTTCTCTACTGTTACCTACTCATTACTCCATCCAGACAGTGTCTGGGGCATGACAATCCTCCTTCTCACATATAAAGCCTTAAATGGCCAAGCTCCATCTTATATCAGAAATATGATTTTTCCTTACGTATGTTCCTAGTAGAGCACTTTGCTCTCAATTTGTAGGTTTACTAGCGGTTCCTAGAATTTCTAAAAGTAGAATGGGAGGCAGATCTTTTAGTTATAAGGCTTGTCTCCTGTGGAATCATCTACCAGTTTTATTCCATTACGCATAAATCCTATTTACTTTTAAGGGTTAGTTAGAGTGGCTCAGGTTATCCTTAGCTATAGTTATGCTGCTATAGGCTTAGACTTCTGGAGGACATACAGGTGCTGGTCATAAAATTAGAATATCATGAAAAAGTAGATTGATTTCAGTAATTCCATTTAAAAAGTGAAACTTGTATATTATATTCATACATTACATACAAACTCATATATTTCAGATGTTTATTTTGTTTAATTTTGATGATTACAAATGACAACAAATGAAAATCTCAAATTCATCATATCAGAAAATTAGAATATTGTGAAAAGGTTCAAAATTGATGGCCCCTGGTGCCACACTCTAATCAGCTAATTAACTCAAACCACCTGCAAAAGCCTTTAAATGGTCTTTCAGTCTAGTTCTATAGGCTACACAATCATGGGGAAGACTGCTGACTTGACAGTTGTCCAAAAGACGACCATCGACACCTTGCACAAGGAGGGCAAGACACAAAAGGTCATCGCTAAAGAGGCTGGCTGTTCACAGAGCTCAGTGTCCAAGCACATTAATAGAGAGGCGAAGGGAAGGAAAAGATGTGGTCGAAAAAAAGTGTACAAGCAAGAGAGATAACCGCACCCTGGAGAGGATTGTGAAACAAAACCCATTCAAAAATGTGGGGGAGATTCACAAAGAGTGGACTGCAGCTGGAGTGAGTGCTTCAAGAACCACCACACACAGACGTATGAAAGACATGGGTTTCTGCTGTCGCATTCCTTGTGTCAAGCCACTCTTGAACCACAGACAGCGTCAGAAGCGTCTTGCCTGGGCTAAAGAGAAACAGGACTGGACTGCTGATGAGTGGTCCAAAGTCATGTTCTCTGATGAAAGTAAATTTTTGCATTTCCTTTGGAAATCAAGGTCCCAGAGTCTGGAGGAAAAGAAGAGAGGCACTTCATCCACGTTGCTTGAAGTCCAGTGTAAAGTTTCCACAGTCAGTGATGGTTTGGGGTGCCATGTCATCTGCTGGTGTTGGTCCATTGTGTTTTCTGAGGTCCAGGGTCAACGCAGCCACATACCAGGAAGTTTTAGAGCACTTCATGCTTCCTGCAGCTGACCAACTTTTTGGAGATGCAGATTTCATTTTCCAACAGGACTTGGCACCTGCACACAGTGCCAAAGCTACCAGTACCTGGTTGAAGGACCATGGTATCCCTGTTCTTAATTGGCCAGCAAACTCTCCTGACCTTAACCCCATAGAAAATCTATGGAGTATTGTGAAGAAGAAGATGCAATACACCAGACCCAACAATTCAGAAGAGCTAAAAGCCACTATTAGAGCAACCTGGGCTATCATAACACCTGAGCAGTGCCACAGACTGATCGACTCCATGCCACGCCGCATTGCTGCAGTAATACAGGCCAAAGGAGGTCCAACTAAATACTGAGTGCTGTACATGCTCATACTTTTCATGTTCATACTTTTCAGTTGGCCAACATTTCTATAAATCCTTTGTTTTTATTGGTCTTCAGTAATATTCTAATTTTCTGATATGATGAATTTGAGATTTTCATGTGTTGTCATTTGTAATCATCAAAATTAAACAAAATAAACATCTGAAATATATGAGTTTGTATGTAATGTATGAATATAATATACAAGTTTCACTTTTTAAATGGAATTACTGAAATCAATCTACTTTTTCATGATATTCTAATTTTATGACCAGCACCTGTAGGGACCCCTATTTCATCATTCTGCTTCATTCTACCTCTATTCTCCCACTCTGCAGAATCTATTAGTTCAATCTCTAACGTTATGCTGTCTCTGTTTTTTCTCATAGTAGCTTCGCCCTGTCTGTTCCTGTTTGGCTGTGACACCACCCTGGAGAAAAATATCAGCTGTGCTGCTGCCATCAACACCTTTGTTTATACCTTTGAGTCAATGAGTCAATACAATCAACTGGTTTTCCTTAGATAGGAAACCTTGAATCAATTTGACTGTATGATCTGATGAACTGTAAAGTGCCTTGAGATGACATGTTGTGAATTGGTGCTATATAAATAAACTGAATTGAAACTGAATTGAATATACTGTAGTACCTAAGGAAGTTAATATCTCTTTCTAAGCAGGTTTTCTGTCCGTCAAAAAACAAACATAATGTTACTTGTGATAGCCATATGCATTCAAGCCAGGAACATGTTTTGAACTGCAGGTAAACCTTTTGTATAAATGTATTTGGTGCACTGGGAGAAATCTCGCATAAAAGTCAAAATAAATATAAACATAATTAAACAACTGTACAATAGTAACCACATGTTATGGTAAATTGCTTTGTGCCCCCTCAATGCATGCAGAAAGCTTGTACACCCCTCTGATATCTATGCATGCACGTTCCCGCTGTAAAGAAACCATCTTTATCTTTCAGAAAATGGCGGCTTTGGTCTTACTTTTTCTCTCGTGCTGACGTTTTCTTGGATCCCGACCCTGGTACCATGGAAACCTTAGTTTTGTTTTATGTGGGAGCAATACAACAAGTGTTTCCTGTCATGTCATTAGTTCTTTTTCTCACCCCCCGTACTCAAAGAGTGATCAGTCAGCAAACACCATGTTCCAGTGCATCAATGTCTGTACACATTTATTTTGACTTTACAAATCTTTCCAGCAACATCTTTTTGTCAAATCCCTCTTTTCTAGTGCAACTCCTCTTCTTCAAATCAGAACAAGTGTAAATTAAGAAACAAGCCAGAAAAATGTATTTTACAATGACCATATATAATTTGGCCTGATACTGAAAACTAAACATATTGGCTATGGAAAAAAAGGTAGATCAGGACACAATGTTGGGTATATATCCACATTATGGAAGGTTCAATAGAAAAAGTTTCTCATAAGACCGAAAGCTTTATATAGAAACATTAATGAAACACAGCAGCTTCCTTTATCACATTAAGTGGTATTGCAGAGCATACAAACATTTGTGATAGTCTTTATCTCATAAAGAAGCCATTTGCATTGCTCCTGTATATGTCCGCTGTGGATTTGTTTCTTGGTGTTGGCTGATGTGGCCTGCAGTCCGATATTTACAGATAAGCATCAATCACTCATGAAGAAAAAAAAAAGCTTGAGTTTGATTTCAAAATTGATAAACATGCTTAAAATGACACCCATTTCGTTGTTTTGCCTCAAAGTCTTGATCTATTGTGCACAATCCACATAACACATTTTAATCCCCATAATTGAAGCATCACATTATTTCTAGATTAAGCATCTTTAGTTGTATATAAAACACCATTAATCATGCTAATTCAGAATGCTATCTATTTCGACCTTTGAAAAACTAAAATATTTACCTCTAAGGTGCAGATTCTGGTTAAATAGTGCTAAAAATGGAAGCAGTTCTTCTTGCTAAATATGACAAAGCCCTTTCCTACAACGTAGCAAAAAAGCACTCAATGTTATTGTAACATTTGAAAGGTTTTACTTTATGTACATAAAACTTCATTAAATTGGAACAGATTGTTATTGTTACATCCCTTGTTTTCTGAAAAGAAAAAGCAAAAGCAGTCAACAGGGGATGTTCTCAGTATGCACAGAAACAAAAATAAAATCATTAAAGCTTAGAAACAAACAAAAATGATAGAAGTATATAAACAAAATAGGGAAGCTTTTTCCCCTCTTAAATAAAATGCAACAAAAATCATATGATTATCTATTTATTATTTCCCAGTTAAAGTAAACTGCTTGAATTTTGGACTTTTTAAACACAACATCTCATCCATTCCAAACCACTGCCCAGCCCCATAACAAAAATAAATGGAGCATTAAAAGTAATTAAACATATTTGCCAACCTTGTTCAAATCTCTAATTTATGCACAGTTGGATTTGAAATGCTTTGCTCCATTGAAAAGCTTTCATACAGACTTTGTTGCCTACTTTAGTTGAACAATAGCTCAAAAGGACACATTTAATGCTCTTAATCAGTGCCCATCCACTGACAGCAAACAACAAACAACTTTTGAGCACCAACTCCAGCTTTTCCACCTTCTCAATAGTCTTCCCCGATCATCAGCTCTTTCCTGATCAACCCTCAGGCCTGCTGGTCTTTATCTGGAGACTCCTCTAAAGTGATGACAGTGAACTCCTCTGTTGTGCCGTTCTCCTGGATATTCTCCTTGTTCATAAGGGTCACCATCTCCTGTTCTCTCTCAGGATTGTTGGAGCTGGATGGCACAACTGCGACCCCATTACCATCACCGCTTTCTTTGGTGGTTATATTCAGTGTTTGTCTTCTGCCACACCAGCTACAGGACACAAGAGGACAAAAGAAACACCTGTTATCACCAAGGTTTACCAGCATCCCAACGGGTGCTGGAATGTAAATAGATGATGCAGGTTAGCTTGATATTGGCCAGTTTTTAAGGTTCTGGAAAGAAAATCAGCTAAAGATTAAATAAATCAACCTTTCTGATAAGATAAGCAGAGGGATCAAATATCCAGTTAAATATCAGCCAAAAGCTTGCTCATTTCGACAATAAAGCATGTTGGCAAGGGTGGAACTTATTTAGAGACACATCACCAAATGTAAGAAGGGTTATATTTTATATTCATACTATTACTATCTAAATCCGGTGTTAATACATTTACAGAAAACATGTAAAATAAAATTTTCTCTTGAGAAAACTTAAGATGGAGGTTGTTTTTTTAGTTCAACCAAAGCCTATCAGATTATTTAAACTGCTGTCTGAAGCTGTAAGCCGCAGCTCTCTAAGCATCAGGTCAATCAAACTCTTACCCTTTTCTTCTGGCCACGGCTGCACACACAAGAAGAACTGCAGCAACTGCTAGGATAACAACAATAACAACCAGCCAATCTAGAAGAAGAAATTAGAAATAAAAAGAAAGATAGAGTTAAATCTTGTTCATTAAAAGAAAAAAGAGCGCTGTCAATTTATTGGTTGATTTCTTTCATCATGGGACTTTTAAGGTGTATATGAGGTCATTCACCTGATGAGCTGCTCTTTTGTCTTTCACTCTCAGCAAGACTGTCATTAGGTATGTACCCTACACATAAATAAAAATAACACATGTTATACAAAAACTGAAAGAAAAAAACCACTGCCAGCTTTCTACAACCATATTCAGTCATCTGCATCATAGAAGAATGGTTCTTCTATTTAATAGTTGCAGGATTTGTCTGCTTTGATCAAATTCGAATTTACTTCCCCTCTAAATATATATTCCCAAACACAAGGGGGCATCGTTTGTTTGAAAAGTTGCTTCAGTTACTCACTTTGGCCCTCCCAAAACTTGTTGCATCACATTTTATATATATATATATATATATATATATATATATATATATATATATATATATATATATATATATATATATATATACCCGGTATATATATCTTGGGGATCTCTAAATTCTATCCAACATGTGCATCTCACTAAATTAGATTATTAGAAAGGTACTTCATTTCAGTAAATGAATCCACTTAATGAAACATATCATGCACAATTAATATATCTGGACTGATGTTTTTTGGCTACTTTTAAAAGAAGGGTTGCACTACTAATTATTAAGGAAAAAAGTTTTTAAGGTATGCAAATATTTTACATTTTTCTCAAGGGGATGGGTTAAATGTAGAGGTAAATTTCTCCATTGTGAGATCAATATGGTTCACTTATTACTTATTACGGTTGCATTTTTCAAATTCGTGATTACCAAAGTGTTTTGAAAGCCCAGCTTTCCCAAAGGTAAATTAGTATAACTAATGTATTTACTCCAAACTGACAAAATTAAAGTTAATTGGAAAGGGTTACACTACTTATTATTATGGAAAAAGGTTTTTAAGGTATGCAAATATTTTACATTTTTCTCAAGGGGATGGGTTAAATGTAGAGGTAAATTTCTCCATTATGAGATCAATATGGTTCACTTATTATTTATTACGGTTGCATTTTCCAAATTCGTGATTACCAAAGTGTTTTGAAAGCCCAGCTTTCCCAAAGGTAAATTAGTATAACTAATGTATTTACTCCAAACTGACAAAATTAAAGTTAATTGGAAAGGGTTACACTACTTATTATTATGGAAAAAAGTTTTTAAGGTATGCAAATATTTTACATTTTTCTTGCTTGAACTTTTCTATCGATATATTTAATTTTTATAGATTATTTAATATATACTGCTGTCATTTTTTTGTGATTTAGTTCAAACCATTGCAGTTAAAAACAAATGCTAAGTGTACTCTTACAGTAGTTATAATAGTTAGAATTTATCAAGAAAACCTAGTTTAACTAGAAAATGAGGTCAGATATTTACTGACAGGATGGGGGACAGTTACAGCACCTGCTGCATATATAAAACAGACCATATAACAGTATTTTTAACTTGTTCATAGTTTTGTTTACCTAAGTGTAACACATTTCTTCAAGTTAGAAGAGGATCTTTATGGCTGTGCATGACTGCATGTTTCTCTGTGTATGACTTTTTAATATCTGCATCTTTATGAGTAGGATGCATTGTTAAAATACAATATAGAAATATACACATATTTGAACAAAAATCTTAATCATGCAATCATATTGTTGGATGCAAGTATTTAGTTGTCATATGCCGGCATAGATAATGCAAATTTTATGGCAGGTATATAGTTTGGTATACAATAACTGGGGGAGTGTTGACCTTAGAGTAGTGTGCTTGTGCTCTGAGAAGGTTGCAAGTACCCCGTTCGATCCCGCACAGTGGCAGCCCACTGCTTCTCAAGGGGATGGGTTAAATGTAGAGGTAAATTTCTCCATTGTGAGATCAATATGGTTCACTTATTACTTATTACAGTTACATTTTCCAAATGTTTTGAAAGCCCAGCTTTCCCAAAGGTAAATTAGCATAACTAATGTATTTACTCCAAACTGACAAAATGAAAGTTAATTGGCGAAAAGCCTGTTAATTCTTCCTATGGTACTGAAAAGCCAATTTAAATCTCTTACATCAGCATATAAGGCCCTGGCCTCCTCACCAAGGCAAATATATAACTTCTATTTGAAATTAACTGCATTTGTAACATATTGAACCATCCCCAAACAATGCTGTAAGTTACTGACCCCATGTAGGGTGCTCGGTCTCCTGTAGTTCTAATCTGAGAAACAAACTTAATTTAATGTTTATTCTAATTTATTGAGATGCACTATTAGATACCATTACAGTTCCTATCAAACGCTGCTTTTTGGTTTTTACCAGTAGGCTTTGCTTCCTCAGTGACTGTCCTTTCACCCAACATTGTTGTTCCAGCATGGATCATTGGAGGCGTGTTATTCTCCTCTGGATAAATTGTATCCATCCCAGACCCATCAGTTTGGTTTGGCTCCACTGTTGTGAAAGTGGAAAATAGAGTGATTCGGCCTTCGCCCAGATCCGCTTGAGAAGAAACAGGGGGAATAGTATTTGTCATCTCCGATGTTGCTTCTGTCTGACTGTCAAAGTAGGAAGTTGGAGTTGTTTCTGGATCTGTTGTTCCTGAGGTCAGAGGCTGTAGTTCCGTCGTAGCTGTTTGGAAGATAATCACTTTTGGTTTAAATGATAACATACTACATTTCATCTATTATTTTAAAAATGGGTAATATCCAAGCTTTACCAATTACATACAGTATTTCCAACCATTTAATGGAAATTAGAGGCTATTATTTGATGGTTTATAATCAGAAAAAAAACATGTTGCAGTTCTGCTCACATGGAAATTCTGTCTGAAATATAGAATGAGTGTAATTCTGTTTTAGTTGCTTTGCATTTTAGATGCAATTCAACATATGCATACAAACTGTCAGAGATAAGAGTTTCATTTTTGGGGGCCACTGTCTTAGACTTAGACAAACTTTATTTTCATTTTGTATACAAAAACAAAACGAAAATTCGATACCTACAGCTTTCAACAGTGAAGTAGCAGCTTACAACGGTGAAATGAACATTTGCCATTTATAAAGTGCAGTACTGATCAAGAATGTAGACCGTATAGGAAAAATGAATCCAGTTTTAAGTCATGGTGCAGAAGGTATTGATAAGGAAAGGTTCAGTGCAGTGAAAAAAAAATAAAAATGGTGCACAATGCAGTAGAGCAATGAGTTGTGTTCAATTTAAAGGGATTATGAAAAATATCAGCAATGTCTGTAGTGCAAATACGCTCGTATGATGTTTTCAAGTGTGATGTAGAGTCTTGGTTAGAATTTCAAAGGTTCAACAGTCTGATCGCAGCGAGGAAAAAGCTGTTGCAGAACCTGCTGGCCCTGCAGTAAATGCTGGTAAGCCTCTTCCAAGAGGGCAGCACTATCCCACTCGATGTTCAACAAAATGACACATTCAGTTCTTCAGTAATATGTAGTTTATCAATTTATTTGTTTAACCATTTGAGTGAATCCCTCTTGCAAACACAGTTTAGCTAATTTGGTACGGATTTGACAGGAGCAACTCTCCTCTTCTATGTCTCTATTCCAAAACTGATCTAAACCATTAAAGTAAAAAAGAAAAAAACATTGCTGAAATTTTGGATTTTGAATTATTTTTCCTCATTAAAGTCATTGATATGTAAGGACGTATTGTACTGACCTGGTTGATCTGATTTTTTGAAAGCTTGACTGCAGTTCTTTTTAGGACCAGCTGGCAGTAAAGAAACATAAGACAACCATTTTTAAATGAAAAAAGCAAAGAAAGTTTTTTTATTTTCATCTTTCTTGATTATTAATTTACCGTTTTCATCATAGCAGTAGACATCAAAAGTTTCATTAGTTGAAGGTGCTTGAAAAATGAGCCCAGTCATGTTCTTTGCGCAGTTTTCATGCTCGGTTTGTCTGAGAATGACAATGCTCCCATCGCTGATCCAACCATACCTAAAATAAAAAAAATTTAAAAAAATTTAAAAGTAAACGTTTAATGACTCTAATTTTGATCCACCATGATTTACCATCATATAAAGCATACTTAGTATCTAACAATTTTTTGTTGAAATTGTGTCTAACTTTAAATGAAATATACTACATTTTATACAGTAAAATAGATCTCTCAATATGGAAATATTTTTTTCATAGTATTCTATTCAAGGAAGTATAAAAGAATAGCCTCCCATTTTACCTGCAGGTTTGCATGCTTTTATTGTATGCATGCTCGACTTGCTCTCGAGTTGCCATGATGGTCTCAAGCTGCTCGCAGACCGCTTTGGCCATGTCAAAGGTCAAACTGTGACGACCCGCTCCCTCAGCCAGAAATACACCAACAAAACTGCAGCCGCGGGAATTAACTAGAAAGAAGCAAATACACAGAATGAGGAGAAATGTTTGTATTAAGAGCAGATCTAAAATGTTGCATCACATCTTCAGTTGGTATACTCAATTCCCCCACTGAAGCTTTATGTTATTTCATGCTGGACAATTGACCAATAAGGGGCACGAATGGAGAGTGGGGGTGGGAGTAAAATAATTCTGTAATTCAGTAATTTGCCTAGATGTCATTTAAATTTTGTTTCTAAGTTTGTACAGTTTGTACAATAAAATAATCCTTTTAAAATATTTTAAAAATAAAATCTACAACATGCATTTTCAATTTACCCCATTGGTTACTGAGTCAAGACACGCATTTTGAAAAGCAGTCATATTTTTGGCCATTCTTTGCCAAATGGCTCAACTTTAATTAGACAGTTTGGACAAAAATCGGGCCAGTCTTGATTTTTATATCTTCTCACAGATTCTCAGTTTAGCTTTGGACATTGATTGGCTCATTCTAAAACATGGAAGCGGTCTGATTGAAAATTTTTTACAATAACTCTGGTTTTATGTATGGGTTCTTTATCTGAACCTTTCAAGCGTCACGTTTCTGCAGCTTCCTAAAGCAATTCCCCCAGGATTGTCCTGAACTTAGCTCTGAATATCTTCAAATCAAGTCATCAAGAGCATGATACTGCCACTACCAGCAGCATGATCTCTTTTATTTGGTCTATAAAATGCATTTCTAATGAAATACAGTGATGTTTGTGGTAGTAAAATAACAAAAAGGGTAAAAGTAATTTTTTATTTCCTTTCCCAGGGTTCAAAGATATAGCTTTTAAACAGAATCAACTCCATAGTTGATTAATTGCACAATTGCCCAGGAAGTCATAAATAAATAGTCATCAAATATCAATGAAGATGCTTCAAATATATTTCAAGTAATAAAAGACAGGGATCTTCATACTACAGAGCTTGTCTTCCAACAACTATAGGAATCATATCTGATTAGGATTTGAATCATAATCTTGAATACAGCCTCCCCCTAAAAACAGATTGGTCATTACAACCAAAGAATTATTTGAATTTTACCAATTTTGCGTCTAACCAATCTTTTGAGTAAAACAACCAATCTTTTGAGTAAAACAACCAATCTATGTTAGTAATGTTTTTAACCAATCTATAGTGTTAACAGGGCAAAGAAATACAAATTGGTCACTCTGACCAATATACAGATTAATTAGTGTAATAACATAGAAAGTCAAAGCCGGGGCGTGAACCAACAACCTTCTGGTTGCATCTGACACCACTGTCACTAATAAATGAATACTATATTAATGTGAAAACCAAGGTTAATGCCAAGATTTGCATGTTGTACTTGTACACATCATTGCAATTGTTCTAACGTTCCAAAACTATTATACACACCAGTTATCATTTTTTATTGGTTGTTTGGTTAACAAATTAAATTGATTGATCCAAAACTAATGACTTGGTCTGTTTCTGACCAACATATTGGTTTATCCAATCAAAAGATTGAAATATTATCAAACAATGTTATTGCCATATTTGTGTGTTGAAGTCTGGGGTAACACATATAAAGGTTCTTTACAAAAAAATATTTACTACCCAAAAAATGTATTAAGAGTCATTTATCACATACAAATCCACATCTTTTTAATCAAAACTCATGTAATGCATGGACTCAGTATGCTTTTAAAATGCTCTGGTGTTTAAAGCCAAAACCAGTATCCTTCCAAAGAATACAATTTCTTTAAGAATAGAGAGAGGATCTGAGAGAAAAATATGATTTAATGCATCCACGAGCAGATTTTAGCCAGATGATTTGAACGTTTTGGAATATGAATAAGGTTTTTAATGTATTTGATACTCTTCAGTGTTTTATAAAGTAAGAAGTATTTTAAAGTTTTTCCTTTGCTTGTTTTTAGGTGTCAGGAAGCCACTGTAATGTCTTCAAAACTGAGGTGATTTGCTCTCTTTGTTTAGATGGAAGATCAACAACTAAGCAAGCCAAAACATTTTCTGTGGTGCAAAACATGATTTTAACCATGCCTGTTAAAAGTTCTCCTGGATAAAATAAACTAAACTAGTGGACAAAATAGGGTTTATTTATTTAAAGGTTATCATTTCGAGGAATGTCTACATCAAAATGCAATAGCTAATCTTATTTTTTTATTTTTTTTTTTCTATTTACCCAACTGTAAAATACATTGATATGTTGTAATTGGGGCTGCTCAGTGGCGCAGTGGGTAGCACTGCTGCCTTGCAGCAAGAAGGTTCTGGGTTCCAGCCCCGGCCCTTTCTGCATGGAGTTTGCATGTTCTCCCTGAGCATCCGTGGGTTCTCTCTGGGTACTCCGGCTTCTACCCACAGTCCAAAGAAAAACATGACAGTTAGGTTTTTTGGCTTCTCTAGATTCTCCTTAGGTGTGAGTGTGTGCGTGAATGGTTGTATGTCCTGTTTGTCTCTTCGTTGCCCTGAGATGGACTGGTGACCTGTCCAGGGTGTACCCCGCCTCTTGCCCATATACAGCTGGAGATAGGCACCAGCACCCCTCGCGTGTCAGATAATGGATGGATGTTGTAATTGCAACTTTCGGACCAAGTTTATCTATTTTTGTTTTTTTTCTCTCTTCTTCATAGAATCTCAATCCTTTATCAGTTCTTCCTGCCACCATCTGCATCAAAACAACAGTTCTAAGTCAATTTGCTGATGGTTAAGTTGGTCTAAGATTGTTCAGGGTATGGAAATAAAAGCAAAAATGCTAAATTGGCCTCATCGGATATTATGCCAACAGATGGTGTACACAGAGAAACTGTTGACTTGGTGAAACACCTGGCTGGCAGGTGAACTCTGACACTAGGACTTGGGGACAGACAGCAGGTGTTACAGTAGGAGCTCAGGAATTAACACACAGTGCTGAGGCTGAATGTTTACTCTCAGGTTGATTTCAGGGGAGACTGGTGGTGCAAGGTACAGATAGATTACCTGCATAGAAACAAACCTTGACTGGCTTTAGTATTCTTTTGCAGTTTACTTTAGAAATTAACTGAAATACAATTGTCTTAACATTTTATCAGCATGCACTCTAAGTGAACACTTTTCTCCAACAAATAAAGGTAAATGCTGCTAATCAAACGAAGAATGGCTAAAACATTTAAGATACTTTCAGAGAACTGAGAGGTAAAAAAAAATAAAATATTTCTTGACCGCAGATTGTTACCAGGGTGAAATATTTCTTAGTGAAGTTGCAAAATTTAACAGGAAGATCACATTTATTTTAAAATCTGATACATGTTGTTTTGTGACATCTCACAAGTGTGCAGAAAAGAAAATCACACATTTGACCTAGCAGCCACACCTGCAACACATATGCTGCCTAAATTATTTATTTATTTATTTACTTTTTTATTTTTTTTGTACAATACGACATTTAAATACATTTTTGGGGATTTTTAAACCAAAAGAGTCAACAATCTCTCATTCTGTTTAACTTGTATTCAAATTCAACAATTTGTGATATACTCCTGCCAGCCTCTTTATTCGGGACAACTGGGCAATTGCTTAACACAAATCGAGCGAACCAGATAATAACACGTGCTGTTTAGTTTCCTTTAATCCTGTTTTATTCGATTGTTTTATTTTGTCTTTGCAGTGTTTGCTTTTTAATGCATCCAATTTTTATCTTTCCGTTAAGCAATCACGAGGAACATGCAGGAGATAAATCTGCAACAACTGTGTGCTTTTACATCATTGTGGACAGAAACATTTCCTCCACACCTTGGTGAATTCATTCCTACAAGAATTAAGCTCTTTAGCATTAAAACCTTTATTCAGCTTTAATCTTAGAGATGTAACTTAAAAAGAGGCCATGACGTATAACAGAAGTATAACATTATATGCAATAAATAATTAATTTAATGGTTATTTTTCTCACATTCTGTAGATAAGCACAATTTCATGTCTTCATAAAATAATTTTCTTCACTTTTTCTTTTCTTTATTAGGTTTAACATTTGTGAGATACAATAGGGGCCCAGCCCCTTTTCCAACATCCTGTTATGAGCAAACAAGGCACCAACAGCAGCAGGAAGTTCAAATTTTGTCTGTTAGAGGCCGTTGTGCAACAGCAGCAGGTTCCTGTGCACATGCTGTACGACAATTTACCTCTTTACTTCTCACTTTCTCACAGGAAAACCTGACACAGCCTCAGCACATGCTAAAAGAGAAGCGCGCTTCCTTCACGGTGTAGAGGGATAAAATTAACAACAACTTTGGCTTTGCAATCTGGCCTGAAAGATCAAAGGAAGAAAACCAAACCATCAGTGGGCTGAAAAAGAGTTCTGACAGCGATCTAAGGGGGTGTTCATTAATATGCAGAGAGACAGTTGTGGGTTTCTTTATAAAGTCCAGAAGCCTGTAATGCCACGGCATTGAGTCTCACTAAAGCTCCTTTGTCACCTAATGGAGTTGGAACCAAGGAGACTGCAACTTCGAGCTGCAGAGCTCAAAAGAAACAGAGCTGTAAAGCTCTGTGTTGCCAAAACCTCCAGATGCAATGAGAGTAATTGTCAACCAAAGCCTTCACTCCACCTTTGCTGTCTTTTTTACCTCTGCTTTCTCATTTTGTTTTGTTTTCATTCACCGCTCTCTGTTTGTCGTTTCTATGCCAGCAATAAAACACAATATACCCCCCGCACACACGTCTTACAAAAAAATGTGAAGCTTGCAGATATTCAGGGCTGATTATTCCTTCATGACCTTGTAGAGTCTTGCAGAAGGAGAAAAGGTAGCAGAATGTTGTTTTCAACATTGACAAATACAAATCGGTATCTTTTCTGTCTTCTTATCAAAACACTGTGTTGGGAATGGTTTCACTTAATCGCTCGGAAAATAACATCAGGTTTCATAATGTCATGATTAGGTAAAAAACCTTCTGTGTCTGTTGCATTCATACTGTTACATCAGTTTTGTCATAGACCATAAAGGAGTTAGGAAGCAAGAGCTTGTTGCCCCGATTCTAACAAAACTACGCCGACCAGCATCATCTCCCCAGGGTGAACTCCATGTCATCAGCAGACATATCTCTCATAGTGTAAACAGTCGGTAACTGAAACTGGAGCTGGGGTAATACATTTTTTTGCACTCTTGAGCATATATTTTTTGCACAAAATACCGGAGGGTGAAATAAGAAGTAAAATAGTTCTGCATAGAACTAAACTAGCGTTCTATGCAGAGCGTGTGACAATCTCACATCTATAGTTCACACCTCATCCCACTTCAGTTCTGATAGGAGACTTTTTTTTAATATCAAGGTGGAAAGTCTGCCATACATTTAACTGCCCCAAAATGTTCACTTCTTCTAACATGGATGCCTTATTTGTAATAAGTAGGGCTGCAACTAATGATTTTTTTGCAAATCGATTTATCTGTCAATTTTATTTTTGATTAATCAATTAATAATTGGATAGCAAGTTCCTTAACGAAGACTTTTTAGGAAATTAAAGGTGAAACTAAAACTTTCTACTTGAATTGTGGATAGAGCATATTAAGAGATGAAAACTTTTTTTTAATCTTAATTACAAAATGTTTATATATATATATATATATATATATATATATATATATATATATATATATATATATATATATATATATATATATATATATATAAATGTACAATATCTATATAATTACTGCTCTGAGTGGGTTGCTCTGTCAGCTAAAGGCATGTTTTACAGTCTCTATACTCCATTTACCAATTAGTCAATTACAAAATTAGATAATGATTATTTCAATAATCGAATAATCATGATTAATCTGATTAATTGTTTCAGCCCTATTACTAAGCTCTCCTAGCAACCGTTGGGTTGGCAAATCAAAGGAACTCTACAAACGATTAAGTATTCTCTCAATGTGCTTTCAATGGAGGTGCCAAAACAACGTTTTTGATATGATTATATTGATAAATATAGCCCCGCTGTGCTTCTTGTAACTCTCAACCAAATAGTTTTAATAATTTGCTTTAAAACATAATTTCTATAGGTAAATCTTTGCTACTTTCAAAAATAAATTTTCTCATAATTTGATTATAGGTAATAAGTAATTGATTATTTAGTTTAATCATTATAAAAAAAAAAACAAGTCAATTATTCAATCTGCTTTAATCTTTCTTGAGTCTTAAAAAATACATTAAACTAACCAGAGGAAGTCCCCTAGGTTTAGTTAGATTACTGATTATCATTTAATAATTTACACAATTTATTTTTCTAGATACTTTCTAGCTAGAAAAAAACCGTTTTGTTTTTTTTTTACTTTTTTACACACCAACATGACATTAATTGCAATCCATTTAAAAAGTCACGAGAGCCTGAGGTAAAGCTACAAAAGTAGAATATGACTGTTATCAAAGACCTTATGTTTAGCAATGCTTTTATTTCACATTCTTGTTGGCTTTTCATACAATATCCAAAAGTGGTCAGATTTCCGTTATTTTTGCATAACCTGGACGTTAAAACCTGCTTATTAAGTTTCTTTAAGGTTTTTCTCAATTTCTCTCAAGCAAAATTTTTTGTTTCTGTCTAGTATCTTGAGATGATGTGGATTGTGAATTGGTGCTGTATAAATGTAAGGAATTTATTATGTGAGCATGTTGAAAGTAACTTAAGACGTTAAAAAGCTGGTAAGGCATTAAAAATAGCTTTTAGTTTGGGAAACCATTTTCTTTAGGTGAGCTAAAGTTAGTACAGTAAGAGACCTTAGTTACACAGCAAATGCCAAAGTTACTGGTAGCTCATTCCAACGTTGTGAAGCAAGAAATGTAAACAGTCTGGTGTGACTGCCTTTTTCCTTTAGACAGCAGGGCCATTCCTGAAGAGGAACACAGCAATTGAGAAAGAGCTTATATAGCCAGGTGTAAAGCAAGTTTTGGTTACTTCAACATGATCTCAGTTGCCACAAAAGGTCAATAGTTTTGAAGAGACAAGGGTCTAGTATTTTGTTGATTACACAGAGCTGAAATTTGGAAGATGCTTTCAATAACCATAACAAGATTTGGCCTTCATTATGAGTTACATAAGATGATGCAGTGTTCAAAGTTGTATTACTAAATGAAAGGTGGGAAAAGGACAACTGGTCATTATTCACGAGAGCCCGGTTACATGCAATTTTTGTTGTGGAGATGTTCAGGTAGGCAAATTGAAACCAATTGATCCTGTTCAAATATAACTTTAATCTGAAAAGAAAACCTAATATTTAAGAAAGTCTCACAGTACAAAATACTTCAATGAGTCATTAAAGATTATGCTGGCTATAAGCAAGAAGGGTCTCCCATAGCAATCTGTGGTACAGGAACAGATGTGAATATCCTTTAAAAATGAGAGATGTTAAATTTTGACATGTGATTAGTGGATCAATCCTGGCTATATTTCTCTAAGCATTTATAAATCTATGTACGCAGCTAAAACTCGAGGATAAATGGGTAGAACATTTGTCACAAAGAGGTGTTAATCACACACATATAAGTCACAAGAAAAGCTACGTGAAAAGATAACTGGGCCAGGGTCACAGCATTTGGCTTTGATGTTGTGTGTTTGTTCTTTTCATGATATCTTGTCGGAAAGTCAGGAATAAAAGGTACTGACATTAAAAGTCGTTTTGTGATATTCAAAAAAGTAAGCTTGGTTAATCACATGGTAGAACGATACAAAGCATTAAAAACTATATGAGCAGGGTTTCAAAATTAGGATGTAATAATTATTAGTTAACAGAAGGCAAATTGTAAGATAAAAATGCTGTGCATTCCACAGAGAAGGTGTCCAAGAACCTAGCCTTGCGGAACCATGTAGAAAGGTTATAGAACCTTAATGTTTATTTCTTGCAATATTATTAAAAAAAACAACAACAAAAAAAACATCAAAACATCAAGGAATTCTGGTTAGATAAAAAAAAAAAATGAGCCACTGATAAAAAGCTTGGCAGACAGAAGCTAAGCACCTGAGTCTATAGAAACAAGGTTCCCCAATACAGGGTGTCTAGTAGAGGGTACATTGGTGGAAGAGGCAAACACGTGCCTTTAAGTATTCAAAGACCATGTCAACAAAAGCACTCTTTGTGAGTGCCTGGTCTAAGGAGATCCTGACCACCCCTCACATTGAAACATGATACATTAGCAGTAAGGAAACAAATATGATCATGTGTGCAAGACACATAACTTTAAGGCTGACCAGTTAACATTTTAGTATAGTAAACATATTGAACAATTTAGATAAGCTTTTTATTGTTTAATGGATTACTTGGTTTTCCTGTACAATATGCTTTACATGATGTGTGTTAAGTGCACATACAAGACAAAAACAAGTTTAGAAGTTTAAATGTTTTTAATAGCCCCCCCATTTCTTTTATTTCTAATCAGTCATTCAGCTTTATGCATATTATAAATACTTTATAAATGACTTAATTTTAAAGTTTTACTGTCTTTTTTAATATATTCAGTCCTTGCAAAATTTTTGCTGTAATTTATGATAAAGTCTATTTCTTGAATAAAGGGGGGGGGGGGGGGGGGGGGGGGCATATAGCAATGTGACCTTTTTTTGTAAATAAGGAGCATCATTATGCTTGCAAAAAGTATTGGATAATTCTCCTAACAAGACGAGTTCAGATGTTAAGTCAGGACATAGATGAAGTATCACTATTAACAACTAACAATCACAAAGCCACACTTCTTACTATATAAGGATCCTTGGGAAGCAAAAATGGTCTGTCTTTAGGGGTAAAAGGATCCCCCTCCCTGTCTCACACTCTGCACCTGAGCTTTCTGTATATTCTCTAATTTTTTTCCTTTAATATGTTTCCTCTTAGTTTTCCCTGGTCAAATATACAGATTTAGACTATATTCTCTTTGGCAAAGAGCCAAAATAAGATATTTGTGAACAACAAGACCACAGACTCCTCAGGGAAGAATGCAGACAGACCCTAGACCTGTTTGATTCAAAGCCAACTAAACCTCCAGAGACTATCGCTCCTAGCAACAAATCCACTAAAATTATATGAGACACAAAGTGTAAGAAGGAGACAATAAAAAAGCAGAAACCCAAATTAACAGAGAAACATTCTTTGTGTCACAAAATACAACATTAAACAAAGGCTGAATAGTAATAAGTAATGCTCAATTAACACATCTGTTTCTAACATATCCACATTTCATTAAAAAAAAAATCCTTAAACGAACAGCTTCAAATGCAAACACGTGTCTGAATCGGAGTGTGGAAGAATAAAGGCAGTCTCCTTTGTGTCTATCATGCCTCCGTCTCAGACTATGCCAGACGTAAGCCTGTCTGGAGTAGCACATGCTTTTGCCGGCATCAACTGATCCATTCTACAAGCTGCAGCCAGTAGCGTCTTTCACTCAGGGTTCTCTTTTAATGAGCAGTCTTATCTGTCTTTTGCTTGCCTCACAAGAAACAAAGGAATACTGTCTTGTGAAAAGAGCGGATATGAAGGAGAATTACCATCAATGCCAACACACATAAAATGAAAAAAATTCAAAAAAGCAAAGAGCAATTATTTTGGTAAAAGCATAAAGTGCTCACCTTGAATTTCATCCGTCCTGCCAGAGGCCAGTATTCCAAATATGACCCCTAAGAAAAAAGTCCACATCTTTACCAACTGGCTGGTGATTGCTGGGTGAGCAGCTTGGTATAAAGGTGTGTAACAGTCCTATTTGTGTCCTGTCTTTCCTCTACAGTACCAGCAACTATGGCTGGATGGTGTCTGTCTATAAAGCAGGGTAAATTAGTAGACCTAAGTAAAAAATAAAAAAGACAGAAGAAGAAATCTAAACTTGCTCTGTGTGTCTAAACACTGCTGGAAGTGACTCCGAATTAGAATCAACTTTCTCCTCTCTGCCTGAGAGACAACAGAGGCTGGTGGCATGCACATAGAAGAGGAAGAGTGGTTCAAGTGAACACACACCCTTCTGCCTCTCCCACAGTTGCCCCACCTCCCCAGCTGCCCCACCCCTCTACTTTCTCTCCCCTTTATTTCCCCTTCAGCGTGACTTGTCCTTGTCTATCTACCCCATTTCCATCCTATCTCCTGACACCCCCATTTCCTTTATTTATGCTCTAGACACAGATACAGTTTCAGAAAGCCATCTGGTCTTTGGTATACTCTTTTCTATGTTATTAACTTATCAGATCTTTTCAGGCCAGGTCTTAATGGGTTTTCTGTGTATTTAAAAAAGTCAGCTTCACCTAATATTGTTGGGTAAACAGAATGCTTTTAAATGGGGCAGATACACTCACTTTACCAGGCACATCCTGCAAACAATGGGTCGATATCCTGTTAGCTTTAATTACTTACATAATTTCTGAGATATTTGACATTATGACATCACACAGGTGCTCACATTTTATCAGCTGCAAATCTCCTGGTCCACAACATCACAAAGGTGCTCTGCTAGATTGTGGTCTGTTAACAGTGAAAGTAATTGGAAACAGTGAACCAATTGTTATGCTCAACCAGTGTGATGAGATTTAGGACATGTAATTTTTAGGGTTTAGGATCATACAGAGATCAAAAATGGAAAATATTACTTAGGTCGATTGTGAAATTTAGAAATGCATTTGCTGAAAAGGGCCCTACAGTAGATTGACCCAGAAATTGTCTCCTTACTACCAGGCTTAACTTTTGGCAGAGGTCAGGTTTGGTTCATGTCTTAATCTAGTATCTCCAAATAAACTGAATGTTGCAGCTAAAATGGACTCGTCAGACCATGGAACATTCTGTAATCTGTTATTCACCCCATTTTTTAAGATTGTGTATAATGTAGGAGTTTCTTGTTCTTGTCTGGCAGGGACTTCATCCTGTGGGGTCTTGCTGCTTCAAGGTTCAATATATTGCATACGTAGAGATTGTATGTTGAAAACCTTGGTTATAGTGACTTTTAAGTATTTTCTGTCATCTTCATTTTTTGGACAAATGAAAGAAAAAAGGCCCCCCATCTGCAAAGATGAAATTACGGCAAAACTCTTGTTTTTTTTTTTCATTGTGCATTAGAATTACATAAAAATGACCTAAAGCAAGTCTACATAATCTTAACAACCACCTCTATCATGAGAAAGTTCTCTCAATTCTTATTCCAGGTTTAAAATTTCACTTCATCAGGTAATAGCAAGTGTCAACTCGGGTTTCTGGAATCTCCCAGTTGCTGTTTGCATGCTATTGCGTAATACCTCAAGTAACAACATGGAATATGAAACCATGACTAGTTTATGTTATTCTTTTATTTCCCTACTGATAGACGTTGAAAACATGCCTAATGGCTTAATATGGCCACTAACTTTGCAGCTATGCAAACAGCACTCAACTACAGTTAGAAAATATCAGTATTGTGGCATCCAGTATTTAGATGAAGCTGTTTTTTATGGACTGGTTAGTGCATCTTAAGTAGTTTCTCCCTGTACAAATATGGCTACATTTTACAAAAATAAAAAAAGGTTTGATTGCTTTTTACACTTTTACACAGGCAAATGTTGACCTCCAGTTTCCATACTGGGAAAATGTTGGCAGAGCAACGCTACTAGCTTATCTATTTTACTGATAACAGACTGAGTTCTGGTAATAGCTGCTATCTAAAGGCTTTTTTGTTAGTTTTTTTAGTTTTTAACCGATTAATGATTAATCGTGGGGGAGAAACCTGATCGTCATCCTGTATGCAACATTAACACAGATTCTTACATTAAATTTAAGGCATTTAAGTCTATAACTTCAATGACTAAGATAATTTAGTCACTTTAAAGAATAATAAATGTTTCCATTAAATATCCTTTATAGAGGCTCCGGTGATCTCTCACTGATTATCGACGAATATTAATGTAGATATTACTTTGAAATGTTTTTCCTCAAATATTTGAAAATATATTAATTACTTTATTTGAAATCAAGCATTTTTAAGCTTTTATTGACTGCCCTTGTAGAAGAGACACTTTCGGGTTCCCTGACACTAGTCTTGATTTATTTATTTAAAATTGTCTTTCAAAGGGGTTAAGATGTCACTAGCTCTACCAAAATCTTTTGAAAGAGAAATCCTCATGGATTCTTTGTCCTGCTTAGCAATGGCCATTAAATGCTAACCTTTTGCATGAAACATACCTGGTGTGTTCACATTCATCCATTGTTCACTCACTCACCCTTACAGAGTCTTTCGGGTTTTCTTCCTTCCTCTAATGGCTATTAGGTGAGAGGTGGGGTACATCTTGGTCAGGTCACCAATCTGTCACAGCGCACTGTAATACAGTGCGAACAACCATGCACCCACTTACACATGTTGATTTAGAGAAACCATTTCAACTAACATTCATGTTTTGTTGTGCTGTGGTGGGAACCCATAGCACCCAAAGGAAATCCACACATGCTTAGAGAGAACATGCAATCTGTTCAGGCTGGTAACTCTAACCAGGTCATTTTTAGTAGTCGTTTTCTGTTAACCTTCTAAGTTTCATATAGTCAGCTTATTTTAGCATCAAGTAATATCAATCCAGACACTTGTAGCATATTACTTTGCCATCTAAGTCTATATTTCATTTACTCTCTATTACTTAATTCAAGTAGAGGTTAGAAAATGAGGAACAACACATTTCACACCACCCTACTATACCGTAGGTGCTGTTCACTTCCTGTTTTCAAGCTCCCATAGCAACACCATAGAAACAGTACAACAAACAAACACATGCAGAAAATCGGTCTCCGCCAGTCACGTGACTTTTGTTGCTAAGACGCCATTTTAGTTGGAAAAGGTGTAGTGTAAACAACCGCAGCATAGCTAAACGAAGGACTAAAGGCCTGTTTACATAGCAGCCTGTCCAAGATAAGTCATTACAGTTAACATAAGCCTGAAAACAGGGGCGGATTTAGGAAAATCGGTCTCCGCCAGTCACGTGACATTTGTTGCTAAGACGCCATTTTAAGTGGAAAAGGCATAGTGTACCGCGCCCGAGGTAAACAATTGACGTCACTTGGCGGAGACCGATTAGTAATACCATATATCTGGATTTTTTTGTCTGTGATAAGTTCCTCTTTCGTTCAAAATCTAAACAGTTGCAGGATTACCAGCGTTTCTATAGAGTCATAGAATAAATCATTAGATCACCTTTGTTTTCTTTTTTAAGAAGGAAACAAATTGGAGTTTGACTCAACAAAAAAAGTCTTGATCACAAAAGTATATTAAAACCAACCCTGGATTGACTTCAATGCATTTAGGATCTTATGTGATGCAGTAGCTGATATCTAAGTAGGAGGCAGTCTTGTGGGAAGCTATGGAAAAGGATAAGATTAATAAATTCTCTTTGTTAATTTTAGTGGATACACCAGCCTGGTTGCTACAGTAAACAAATCACTAGTGCTTTACGGCTAATATCTGGTTATCACTCCTGGATGACTGGGGGTAATAAAAATACCCCTGAAAAAAAATGGCCATGTCTGAAAGCAATATTAGACATGAGGCTTCTAGGTCAGCCGATTAAAAAAAAGAAAAGAGGAAACTTTTCCATCATGGTTACATGGTGAAAACAGACACATGCGTCCTCATCAGACTTCCTTGTGGTCTGGGAGTCCTTGCGGCTAAACTAATAGCACTTCCTCAGCATTCCTCTGACACAGCGTGCTTTTTCCCTTTATGCCAGTGAAGTCAATGGAATTTAAAAAGTGAGACATTGGGAGATGCCCATATTCGTACAGAGTGTGATGATTGGATGTTTGCACATAACTTGTGATACAATGATGACCAACAGTAGAGTGGCCTCAGGGTGTCTGCAAAGATTTGTCAGTTCTGAATGTTACAGGTTCCTAAGCTGGTTGGTGGATATTGTATCTAAGTGTTTAACAGGCTAATATTGTGCTTTAAAACCAAAACCACTAAAAATACTGAAAGTACTAGCCACGGCATCAGGTACACCCTGTTAGCCTTTGTTTGGACATATTTACCAGAAACCATTAAGAGGCGATTTAAACTTTGTGGCATGACACAGCCTAATCTGGGTATACCATTCCAATAATGACATTGTCTTATCTTTTTCTATTTGATTTATGTTATATGTTTGGGTTTTCCTTTTCTGCACAGTCTATTGAAACATTTGCATTCATTTTTTTGTTCTTTCATAGATTTCTCTCAAAGTCTTGTGTTTACCTGAAAGGTTACATTAACTTTTTGCTTTGCCTTTGAAACAACATAATTTCCAAATTTACGGATAATAAAGGGGATTTCTATTCTATGTTAATTCCATTAACCTCTTGGATAGACAGTCTTTGGTCATAACAAGGTGGGTATGATCAGGAACATACTCAAGCTGGCTGTGAGATTTTTTTGGCCTATTTCCAGGAGGATGGTTGCCATATGATTTATTGATTCCCTATCAATAAGGCAGGCAACCCCAAACTCGGTCCTCAAGGCCCCCTGTTCTGCAGGTTTTAGAGGTTTCCTTGCTCCAGCACAGCTGATTTTAATTGAAAGCTGATTAACAGGCTTTTGGTCTAGTGCAATCATTATAACCAGCTGTGCTGAAGCAGAGAAACCTCTAAAACCTGCAGGACAGGGGTCCTTGAGGACAGAGTTTGGGGATGCCTGCAATAAGGGTTAACAAATTACTAAACGGGTGTATTTTATATAGTAGCTAAATTATCTTGATTGTTTTTTTTTTTTAGGAAGATAATCGCAAATTACACTTTTATGGCACATAGTGAATTTTGGAGGCACCAGGTTCTGGTACATCGGTATATCACTGTCAAATTAAGATGACAGAGCTGACTGGAACGACGAGCGGTTCAGTTTTTTCTTTTTTTTTTTTTTTTTTTACCAAAAAAGGATTGTTTACTTGTCAAATGAGATGTTGAATGGTTGTGTGGTCATTTATCATCAAGTTCCCCCCGTAGGAAACACTTTATAGTTGTTATAATTTAAAAGTTATC